ATATGTTAAAATCTTTTATCAATAAAGTCCATACAAAAAGGGGCTAAAGCATTATATTACTTATGATGTTAGATCTTATTTTTGATTTATAAAGCTAAATGGTTTACAAACACAAATCTTATAATGTTTTAAAACAATTTCAATATTAACATGTTAAATGAATAAGCTCAGATTTTCTCTGATATTCAGTCATATAATGTTATAGCCCATAATGAAAACTGAAGTTTAGTCAAAGAATGATGATCTTAGGTGCTTCCATTCTGGAAGTAATGAAGCTCAAAGGTTTAGGGCCAATGGCCGAAATCAAGAGAGCTGTCGACAAATTGATCAAAACGTTTGATCCGCAATGTGTAGTATCAATTTTCGCATGATAATAATAAGTTTCAGCTCTTCAAATGTTTCGGTCATTGAAAGAGCTCGATATAACTGAAAATCGAATTAATCGGTTTACATAAAACAGAGAACTTTATTTCTTAAAATAAATGTATTTTCCAGTTGACCATCAAAACTGACACCTGTAAAAATCACTTCATTCAAAAATCTACTTTCACAATTGAATAAAACGCGATTGAAGCTGCAAATTCGGCATCAGTTTTCTTGGAAACAGTCGATCTGAGAAACTTTTTTATTAACCTTATGGACTCAGTTTTTATGTACCTAAAATGTTTCAAAGTCAAAGACAAAGTAATAACTCTGACTTTCAGTAAATTAGTCCATTAAAACTTTCGACGCAAGTTATACATTTTATACTAGATATCAATAAATAGTTAATTGATCAACTGCAATTACAATTGATTTATCGTTTAAAGAAGAGTTTAATTGGTAATATTGAAGAGAGACTATTCTATTCTGGTTTCACCCGATGAATAGTGATTCTTGTCATTGTTCAATAGCAATAAGTGTAGCGCAACTCTTTAATTTGTACAAGTGCACTGTACTGTTGATTAAACATCTAAATTGGTGAATTCAGTTCAGAATTGTTTTACAGTTGACTTAGCCCTCTGCATATTCATGCATATTTACATCTACATATCTTGTATCCAAATGTTTATTGATTTGGATGGTGGTATAATCTAATAATATCATAAATATCTGGACTGCTTCATTTCAAATATTAATTCAATATTGAAATAAACATGTCTACTAAACTTTTGGTAAACTGTTTCCAATTAAATAAGCAATGGCTTTAAGTCAACATGGATAACGAATAACTAGATATTTTCAATATTTTCACCGAGCACTGAAGGTTAGAGTTATTTTTCAAAATTAATCAATCAGCAATTCATGTTTAGTTAATTATAAATTTTGATGAATTATCTCAACCTTTGGTTATGTTTCAGTATATTAGAGCGATCCATTGATGATTTCCTCCGCACAGTTAACCCGAGACGGATACAAACACTTGAGTCTTGTCCGATCAGTTTTACTCAAGTTGCGAATAAAAATCAAAAGGTTCAACAAAGTAAATTCAATTTAAAATTTTTGAAAGCCTTTGCAAGATATCAAGATTTTGGATTATTTACTCATAATTCAACCGCTCTATGCACCTAAACTAAAGTCTTCATACACTCCAAGATCTTTTTTTCAAGCAAAAAGTCGAAGTTTCAAATTTTTTAGATAAAATAAGTTAAAAACAAGTTCCAGCCTTTTGTCTATTGAAGGGAATGCTATCGGAACCTAAGCGATCTGCTCTCTAGAAACAGAAAATTTTACTGAACAAAGTGCATTTCTTGGTTGAGTATCAAAAATTATTGTTTGCTGTTGTATATTTTAATGGATTGAATGAAAAAATCTGTTGCCATAATTGTAAAAAAGCAAAATAAGTTTGAACCTTGAACACAATTTCATCGAAAACTATCAATCAGATAAATTTTCAGATCAGATATGTTTATTAATATTTAATATCAATTAATTACACAAATAAATGTAGACTTTGCACATCATAGACATACAAAGGTAGACTTTTTTAGGGTTTTTAGACATTCTCATCCATACATCCATACAACATACAGTATAAAGTACCGTATTAAGTCAAAACATCAAATTTTTGTGTAAAAATTGTAACTGCAAGGAAAGGATTCTACAAGAAATTTTTGCACAGACTGAAAGCCACGATTGAACTAAATGTCCGAAACATAGTCAGAGGTTAATCAGCCTTCAGGTTACTGAGAAATTCCTGTTTAAACAGGGTAGGGGAAAAAAGCAGAATGCGTATTTTGTAGCATTGGGTTTGGGGGAAAAACTTTTTGGTTATTTAGTTTGATGGTTTATTGCTGGACTAGGAATATATGCAAAACTGTCTTTCGAGTAAAGAGTTTGGTTAATAATCTGGTTCCTCAACTGTATTAAAAGAGACAAAATGACAAATTTTGAACTCGATTTCGTCAATGATTTTCCACCAGAGAAAATTAGAAATTCAGAATTTGAGTCTTTAAATGTTCATTGAATTTATGGTACACAGTAAAAATAAATTTACGATCAGTCATGATCGGAGGCTCCACTTGTAAACTCTAACATCAAATCGTAAGTTTACACTTCTTGGATTTAAAACAAACATCCGATTATTAAAATATTTATAATATCATGGAATAGTGAATTATTGATTCAAAGGAGTTTCAGAATAATCATTAGATTCTGTAGTTACTAAATCAGTATAAAACAAAGACTTTTGCTTTATTGTTTTCATTGTCTAAAGGTTTCAAAAGCACCATTGATCGGTGTTCAGTTCAGAAAGTAGCAAAAAGCAAAAACTAAAGAAATGTGTTCGTTTTTGCGAAATAGTTGCTTTTTGATTGGGTTGAAAGCGGACAGATTGTTTTGATTTGTTTTTAATTTTTGTCCATTTCAGATTAACCTCAACTTTATAAGTTAATTTAATGGTGAAACAATTGAACAGCTAATTTACTGGTTGAACGTTTTGGATAAAAAGGCTTTACTTGTGAACTCACTCAACAGAGCCTTGATGATTTATACACATTTTTTTGATGTCCATTAAATTCACTTATTTCCTTTGCGTTTCTTGATTGTGATTTCATTGCAACAAGGTTTTACCTTGGTTCAATCCAACCACTGTAATCAACATTAATAACGGACAATACAATTTTTTGGTTTCACTAAGAACCCTTTTTTTCAATAAATTGATTGTTACTTCAAGTTGAAAATCAAAAATGATCATCTTGCTCAATTATCAATCATTTTTAATTTCTACTGTGATTTATTTAAAAATGAAGGAAGGATAATGATTAGCATTTAATTTTCTCCCACAACCTTGATTACAGCGTGTTCCGTAATCATGACTGAAGGCCAACAGCTCAAGAAATTAATGAAAATTGCAATCCTTGAAGCACTAAAGGAAATCAAATGCTAATTAAATGAATTTCTCTGTTTATCAAATCAGATTAACATTAAACGAAACATTAACTGGTTATTCAAAAATATCAAGAGATGGATAAATTATAAAACATTTGACATTCAGAGCAACATTTGAATATTTGGTCAGTTTTTGGGTTTACAATTTTTTGGGTTAAAATGGGAAAATTTAGATTTTCTGGTTTAATGCAAACTGGATAATGATTTACATCCATTGTAAATAGTTATCACAAGGCAACAATCCTTTCCATTGTATCTCTTTAATTGTTGGGTACATCAAGTCAATAATAATCAGGTTCATTGTGCTTTTCAACAGGTAATACCAAGTTGATCATATTATTAACAGGAGTTAATGAAAAAAATCCGGAGATTAACTTCCTCTTTATTATTAATTTTTGAAGCTTGATTGTCGCCCACTGATTGTGACTAGTGTGTTTGTTTGCTACAATTTTGAACGTTATTTTATGGTGAAAAAAAGGGAAGTTAAATGCAAACAAGAAAGTTGAATAATCTTTCTGTGGTTAGCTCATCGGAAGGACAATTACCTTGGTTTAGGTAATATTGTATTGATTGCTGGTCTCTCTACTTATTTAAACAATTATAGTGATTCTGGTTGTGGATTTGCTGTTTAGATCACCTTTCACTTTAATGGTAATGGAGATGTGTGCTGATTAACCATTTATCCAATTCAATGGGCAACATCGTAACTCATCTGATTGCCATACAACATTAACTATGTTAATAACGATTGAATGTATTTCACCTTCACCATAATAATTAAAGTGCGTCATTAAGATCTTTTATTTAACCAATCATGGTCAAGATTAGATAGTAACGTAGTCATAATTGATTTCATTATCAAGCCTCAGTCTATTGAATTTCACATACAAAAATATACCATTTAAAGTAAATTGTTTGGATAACCATTTTGGTGTTGTTACTATCATTTACTGTATTATCATTTATCACAAAGATTGCTCATCATCCCATGATTGAGCTTTCAAAATTTTTCATGATTCCTTCTGATCATTTTAAAGCTAAATAATTGATTTGGGTAAACTTATAATAGACATTACTCTTATGCTGAGATTGACTCAACCAGACAATTGGCTTGTGTTGAAACAATGGTGAACCAAAACCAGCAAAATCTAATCATGAGAAGAATCAGGTTCAAGTTGAATATCCAAGTTAAAGTTGGTGAAAATCTGAAATCAACTGAAGTGACCAAAATTATATGTTGAAATGTAAATTGGTCAAGAAAATGTGTTTAAATCAAAATTTTCCCATCATAACCTGACTTTTCCTGCAAACCAATTTTGCCAGTTTTCTGGTTCTCTTTGTCAAGTTTCTTTAACCAGGATGTATTGACTTACTTGAAAATGAAACAAAATTACATTAACATTTAACACTTTTTTAGAGTATTTAAACTGTAGATCAATTTACACAAACTCACCTTTAATTGTGGCCAAATTAAATCATCAAAACGACCCATTAAACCTCCATTTCATCAATAAAAATGAAAAAATGAAATGTTTAAAACAATGAAAAAAATGGTATCAACTTATAAGAAAAAAAACCAAGTTACAAGCCGTGAGACTGCGTACATCAAGTTTGTAATTTTTTTTGCTGTATTTCAACCAGTTTAAGTTTTACCATGAAAGAGACTTGCATACATACACCTTCAACAGCACAGTATTTCTAGTTAATTTGTGTTTCTAATTTTTTTTATTTAATCATCATGATCACGTCCAGTGTTTAATATTTTACCATGGATTTATTTGGACTGCTTACTTGTATTATAATATCCTTTTTAATTGAAGGAATCAAAGGTAAGATTTGCTTTGTTTATTTTTTATGTTGACTCCTTTTTAAAATGACTACTGGTGTTGATGTTGGTTATGTGTTCTTTGTGTAAACAACCTTCAACTGAATTTTAATGTCTTTTCTGATTCATATGTTTAATTTAATTTTATCTGTGTTATTTTATTTTTGATACATCTGTTCAAATGTTATCTCTTGTTAGCAATATTTCTTTCTTTGATTCCTAAGACGCTCAAATAGCAGTGATATCCTCATTTGAACTTAGCACTGAAAACTGCTCTTTCAACCCTTAGTCAGTGTTTTCCTTTGTCTATCTCCTTCTCTTTCTTCATCACACAATTCATTTCTCCTTTATTTTGTATTTCTTTGGTTGTTTTCCCGTTCTTTCAACTCTTTTTTTACTACCTTATGTCAATGATCTTTTTTCTTTCTTTGTTTTTATTTTAGGGTCCAGATGGAAGACTCCGTTGAACGATTATATATTTGATTATGATGTAGTTGAATACAATGCTCATCACGTCCATCATAGAGTCAGAAGGCACATTGAGGCCATAAAATCATCTTCATCTTTGCCATCTTTTAAAGGATCAAACGGATCCTCATCACCTTTAGACCCTATTCAAATTAATTTTAAAGCCAAAGGAAAAGTATTTAACCTTAGCTTAAGGCCAGAAGTGCGGTCGGCCTTTTCTGAATCTCTAATTGTTGAAGATTCAACAGGGAAACCGATTACTATCAATTTCGATCATATAGTTTCTGGACAGCTCGAGAATGAGCCTGGCCTTACAAAAGTGTATGGTTCAATCCATGATGGAGTTTTTGAAGGCAAAATACACACAATTGATCAAACCTATTATGTTGAAAGAACTGGAAAATATTATAAAGATTTGAAAGAGAAAGGACACAATGTAACTAGCCATTCAATAATTTATTCAGCAGATGATGTTCATCATGACCATGATCACGAGCTTGGCGCTGGCTGTGGAAGTGATGAAATATATAAATGGATGGAAGAGATAAGCAATTCTGCTGTCCCTGAATCTAGTGAAGAAAAAAAGAAAGCTAAGTCAGGCAAAGAAAGTGAAGAAAAGTCACATCATAATTATTATAGTGAACCAATGGAAACGGTTATCCACCATCGAACGAAAAGAGATTCTCAAACTACAAGGGGACGATACAGAACGCAACCACTTCATGGTTCAGCTGACAATGTCTGGTTTCGTGCTCAACCACGTATCTCAACTAGAAATGAGAATCATATTCCCAGCAATCCAAGTAATAATTATCAACGAGAGAATGTTCCTCTTCAACAAAAGCGAGCTTGTTCTCTATACATTCAAACAGACACTTATCTTTGGGATCACATTCGAAAAGATGTTTCATCAGATATAAAAGCAAGAGAAGAAATCGCATCACTGGTAGCACAACATATTAAAGCTGTGAATCATATTTACGAGAGTGCCAATTTTCAAGGTATTCGAGGCCTTAAATTCATCGTTCAAAGACTTAAAATTAATGAATCTTCAGCTTGTGATGATCAAGTCAAGAGGGATCAAAATCCTTTTTGCTCACCTAACATCGATGTTTCTAATTTCTTAAACCTTAATAGTCAGTTTAATCACAACGATTTTTGCCTCGCTTACATATTTACTTATCGTGATTTCTCTGGTGGCACTCTTGGATTAGCTTGGGTTGCCTCTACTTCTGGTGCATCTGGTGGTATCTGTGAAAAATACAAATCATACACGGAAAATATCCATGGTCGTCAAGTTCAAACTAAAAGAAGTCTCAACACAGGAATAATAACATTTGTTAATTATAACTCACGCGTACCACCAAAAGTATCTGAACTCACTTTAGCTCATGAAATTGGCCATAATTTTGGCTCTCCTCATGATTTTCCACCTGCTTGTAGGCCTGGTGGAGCTCTGGGTAATTATATTATGTACTCATCGGCTACCTCTGGAGAAAGAGCCAACAACAACAAATTTTCACCTTGTTCAGTGAGAAACATTTCAGCAGTCTTGAATGCTGTTTTCCACCAAGAAGGAAAAGAAAATTGTTTTGAAGTGGACAATGGTGCGTTCTGTGGTAACAAAATTGTCGAAGATAGCGAAGAATGTGATTGTGGTTACGACGCAAAGGAGTGTCATGAAAAGTGTTGCTTCCCAAGAGAATATGATACTTACTTAGGCCGTTACCCTGATGCCAAGCCATGTAAAAGACGTACTGGAGCTTTTTGTTCTCCCTCAGAGGGCCCTTGTTGCAAAGAAGCATGTGACTTTGAAACGTCTGATAAGTTGTGCCGACATGAAACCGAATGTACTTTTGAGTCATTCTGTAACGGAAATTCAGCACAATGTCCGGCACCTCCAGTTAAACCTGATAAAACGGAATGCAATGGAGGCACTCAAGTTTGTATACAAGGAACTTGCTCTGGCTCCATTTGTCAAAAATACGACATGGAAGAGTGTTTCCTTACATTCAAGAGTGGTGCTAAACCAGATGAAATGTGTGAAGTTGCCTGTCAACGAATCAAAGATCCTAAAACATGTAGACGAACCTCTGAAATTGAACAAATGCGCAACATTAGTGGACTTAAATTACGTCCTGGATCGCCTTGTAATGACTTCCAAGGTTATTGTGATGTTTTCCAAAGATGTCGAGCTGTTGATGCTGAAGGACCTTTAGTTAGGTTAAAAAATTTACTTTGGAATCATAAAACTTTACTTACAATTAAGCAATGGGCTACGGTGAGTAACATTTCAAACCCTTTAACTGTGATGCAAAATTTTGGGTTTTATTCAATAACATTAAAAAAATATGTTTTAATTTCCTGTTTAAACTATTACAATTGATAGCTTTAATAAATAGGGAAGACGACCGTTCCTATGAATAATGCAATTCCTGGAAAAAAATCATAAATATTTCCTTATGATTGAATTTTTAATTTAATATCATTTTTGTTTTTTCTCATTTTTCCATTAGACCTACTGGTGGGCCTGTATGTTAATGGCTATTGCCATTCTTTTATTCATGGCAGCCTTTATCAAGTGCTGTGCTGTACATACTCCTAGTTCAAATCCAAAAAAGCGACCTGCGCTCAAGATAACAGATACTCTTCGTCGTCCAGCGGATACTCTTAGGCGAAAGGTAAAAGATTTACATGAATTTTAACCTGACTAGTCTCATTTTCTTTCTCTTCACACCATCATGAAATACAGTCAATTTTCCACTTAAAGGGTAAATATCATACACACCATCAAATGTTTGAACGATTTCTGTTAACGGTAGTTAAAAAGATGAAGGGAATCAAGTTTTTAAAATTATGAAAGGCCATGAGAAGTGATAAAACACTTTACCCGTAATACCACTTTAAGTGTACTTTGACTGTATAAATTTTTTGTTATTCATCTTTAACTGCTCCTTTTTTCACTCGCTCATCAACATTTCCGTGGAGCATCCTTTCAACAAGGAAATCCTCTTTTTATTAATAATATATTGTTTGGCTTTTATACTAGCACATGAATGTCCATTAACTTTTGTGTTTGTGTGTGTGTCTCTTTATGTATACGTGTGTCTTCTTTGTTTAATTTAAAGCTAATCCAAACATCAGAATTGGCAGTTGATCATCTTTTTTCCTTTCACTTTTATCTTCTTATTTCGCAGTCCATTTTTTTCATAGCACCATCTGAATTACCTGGCTTTATAACTTGTCAATTGTATTACATTTTTTTCTGATTGATCTATCAAAATTTCGATTTTCTCTTTTTCTCTCTCTTTCGTTGGTTCTTTTTTCTTTCTTTTTCTCATCAATCCAACCTCTTTACATCCCTCTCTTCCTCTCTATTATCTTTATTGCCTGAACCATTCCATTCTCTTCATGATGAACAACCATCATCATTACAAAGTTGAAATGAAATCATTATATCTTTTGGGTGACCTGCAATCAATCAAAGTTTTTACCCAACATTGCTGATCTACTTGACAGGTTAACGTAATAATCATTATTACCATCAACAATCGTAACAACGTATGAACTTGAAGTTGAATTTTAAGCTTGTCAATTGAATTTTAATCAATTTCGTATTTTTTCACCATTGTCATGTAACATTGGTTTAATTAGTTTAATCCGGTCTAATTATCAGAGAAACATGTTAACTCATTGTTTCTCAAATTAACATATCTATTTATGTAGTTACATTGAACATTATCGAGAAATGATTTACATAAAAGTTATTAGTATTCATTATTTAAATTGGTGTAATCAGTTTCAATGTCAATCGAAAAATTGTTTATCAATAATCCTGAATAGACCAAAGATTGAAAATATGTTGATAAACTATTGAACCTAAATATTGATTAGTAAAGATCGTTAAAAGATTAATGTGAAGTAGAGCGAAAACAATCAGTAATCGTGAACTCAGCTAAATAATAATATTTTTAATTTCACTCAATTCATTATCACTAGAAGTGAAAAAAAGAAGTAAAAAATGTTTTCTGTTTTCACCATTTTTTCATTGAACAAATTGAAGGCAAAAACTCATTTTCAACACCAAAATCATTGTCATTAAAGCAATCTTACTTTTTGCGTCTCTGTGTGTCTATCCTTACAATTACATCATGCATATCTATCCAAGTAAATGACTTCTCACTGATTTTTCTTTAATTATAACCATGTAAGATGATTTCATTTCTTTCCATTTCCTTCCTTCTCTCAGTTGATGTTTTTTCTTATCCTTTATAATTTAGTTTCATTATCTTAAAAACCATTGTAAATGTCTTTACTAAAATACACTTTCTTATGCGAAATGATCTTTCCTCAGGCTTTTATTTTTCATGCTCATATGCATGGAACCAAACTATTTTTTTCTACTTAACTCTTCCCTTTTTCCACAAGATATTTTCATTCTTTTTGAGTATTTTCTCGCAAGAAAAGTTACCTTGTTACGAACTACTCTTTCACTATCATCCATGGTGTAGATTAAGACCAAGGCCTGCAAAAACTTGAGATACCATTCCTTGTCTTTTCTTGTTTTTTCAGTCTCTTTCAAGTTTTCATTTTATTCAGTTTCATTCTCTTGTTTTTTTTCTTCATTTTTTTTCTCCTTTTTTGGTCTTCATTTTGTCTGATCATTCTCTTGGAATGATTTATTTTTGTGGCTCTAAAATAGTAAGCTTTACCCAACATAAAATCCATCAGAACAATATAGCAGATGAAGTTATTTACAGATTTATAACTTTAACTGTTTCCATAACTCTTGAACTCATTTTTTATTTTCGCTTTCTTTCTTTTCATCTTCAAGCTTACTACCAGTTTAACTTAATTGTTAATTGCCATTCAATTGCTTTAACTACGAGTAAAAATGATGTCTCACTGATATTCAGGCTACATTTATTTGACTTATTATGCTAACAGTGTATTTCTGCTTCTTATTATATCTACATTACGCTTATGTTGTAACCAAAATGTCTGTGTGAATCGATGAAAGGCATTGAAGGTTGAAAAGGCGTTGAAATATTCCAAAGAATAAGAATCGTTAGTTAACCCCTGTTGAAATACAAGAGGCCACAATTGATATCTAGAGGATTTCCTTGATTTACTTGTGACGATTAAATTCTATTCATTCTATTTATTCCACCATATAAATGATTACTCAGTTTAAAATTGGCTAACTATGAAAATGTCATAGAACATGAGTAAATGATTTATGTGGCTTAAAGAATTTAGTATTTATGAAAAAAATTGCACTAAAACTAATAAAATCCTTTTGCTTTCTTTCTTCTTATTTGAAAATCTAGCGCCCGCGATCTACTCATTCGAGACCTGCCAATCAATCATCATCATCATCGTCAAACCATGGAGCAAATATACCTTTACAACCATCTGCTCCTTTATTCACAGATGTATCAGTTAATCAAGCCTCATCATCTTATAATCAATCCTGTGGGTTAAATATGCAGCATACACAATTAGTTGTTGCCTTACCTCCCGAAAATCATGTACACTCCGGAGGAAGCGGAAACATGAATTATTCTTCTAGCTCATCTTCTGACCCACCTCCACCTTATCCAGGAATCGGACTAGGTTTACCACCGCCACCACCTCCTATTTCACGTATACCAACCTCCAGCTCTTCAGGTCCTTCTCATGGATATGGTGAAGGACGAGGTCATTATAATCGCAAAGGCCAAACAGCTGTACCAACGGGGAACAAAAGTCATCATAACAGTGTATCTAGTAGATCTCGGCATATGAGATGATGGCTTTGATTTTACAAACGAAGTCTTTTTTTTAATTTTAATCCGTACAGTACGGAATCCCTACTTGGACCTTCACTGGCTTGTATTTTATCTGCCATCTATCAACTTTAACAACATTTCATTTTAAACTGAACTTGTTCTGATTTTATTGGAAAAAAAGTAAAAGTTTTTTCATCATTTTTAAAAAAAACAATAGGTGACTTTATAATTTTTTTTCCGCTCGCCAAGTGAAGGCTCCGGTATATTTCCTGAAAAATGATTAATGTCAATAGCACAAAGCTATCATGACAAAAGTGAAGGGCTCAATGTTGACCTTTGTATTTTTTGCTTCTGTCTTAATGTGCACCTTCACGCTACACATAAACTCATTTTCATTGTTATCATCATTCGTCTTCATTTTCATTTTCATTCATTTTGAAAATAAATAATTTATAAAGGTATCGTTTAACCAATCTGTTTTAACTCAAACTCACTGGCTATATTGTAAATAAACTTTATTTATTAATTTCAAATGATGAAATAAATTGGCTTTGGAATTAAAATGCTAATCAAAACATTGAATAATTAATATTGAATATCATAGCATTGAAAAGTGTCTAAATTACCTAGACGATGTCATTTGAAAACTGAACACATCAGAAAAAGATAATATTCAAAACTTCTGAGCTTTTCATGAAATTCTGAATGAAATGTTTGACAGCATTTTTGGTATATTTTCATTAACCTTTTATCAATTCTGTTTCAATATTGTAGCAAGATGCGTAAACAGTGCCAGTTGCTTTTCAAAGAGTTGCCATTCTTTTTGTATATTAAACATATGATTGTATAACTTTTTGTTAAGTGTTCTCAACTGAGATCTATTTTTGTCAATTAATTAAGTATATACAATTTTCTCGTTGCAGGAATGATTAAGATTACATTTATGTCTCTTGATATCATTTTGAGTGATCTAGATATTGGTCTCAAGAGGGAAGCTTTTCAATCTTTACATTTACGTTGGTCTCAACAAGAAAAGCCATCTTAAGAAACTAATTTACTACGCTGTTGTTTGAATTATGATTTTTTGTTAACTATCAATTGATTACTTAAAATACCCGAATATCAATCAAAATGACTAAATATATTTTACTTTGTGCATGGCTGGTTACTTTTGTCTTGGGTCAACCAAGAACCTTTTTGTCACCAAGAATTGATCCTCTATCTGATCTTATGATCAACAAAATCAACTCTCTTAACACTACTTGGAAGGTAAGCTAAATCATTTTGTTTTAAAACTAATCTAATAATTTTGTTATTATTATTAAGGCTGGCAGAAATTTTCATGGAATATCCATCAACCAAATCAAAAGACTTTGTGGAGTTAAGAAAAACAAACAGAACGAAGTAAACATCGAACGAATTAAAATAAATGTTGAACCCAAAATACCAGTCCGATTTGATTCTAGGGAAGCTTGGCCAGACTGTCCCTCAATTTCATTCATTCGGGATCAAGGCAGCTGTGGATCATGTTGGGCCTTCTCGTCAGCCGAAGCTATGTCCGATCGTACGTGTATAGGGTCAAATGGTACACTTAAACTTGAGCTATCAGCAGAAGATGTATTGACCTGTTGCACTGATTGTGGTTTTGGTTGTAATGGTGGTTTCCCTCCTTCAGCTTACCAGTATTGGGTTACAAGTGGTTTGGTCACTGGTGGTCTTTACAATGGAACCGGCTGTCAGCCATACAAAATTGCGCCCTGTGAGCATCATGTCCCTGGTCCAAGACCTGCTTGCACTGAGGTTGACACTCCTGCTTGTGAAAGAACATGCCAATCAGGTTACCCAAAAACTTTTCTCCAAGATAAACACTTTGGTGCAAGAAGCTATTCAATTGAACGTGATGTTGCTCAAATTCAATCGGAAATTATGAAAAATGGACCAGTTACTGCTGCTTTCAGTGTTTACTCAGATTTTGTTGTTTACAAATCAGGTGAAATTTCAAAGAAATATCAATTCTAGCTTTTCAGTCAACTAATGAATATTCAATTAATTTTAATTAAACAGGTGTATATCAACGACACTCAAAAGATTTGTTGGGTGCTCACGCAATCAGGATTCTGGGCTGGGGAGTTGAAAATAGAGTTCCTTACTGGCTGGTTGCTAATTCATGGAACTCAGACTGGGGTGACAATGGTAAATTTAATCTTAAACCTCTATCTTGATTGAAACCTAATTTATCTTTCTAATTTAATTTGTATTTTACAGGCTACTTCAAGATTCGTCGGGGTAACAATGAATGTGGAATCGAAGATGACATAGTCACTGGATTACCAAAAGTTGATTGAAAACCAATTTAAGAAGAGATTATTAGAGTAATTTTTACATGTATCTTGCTGAGCATTTCCGTTGATTTGACTGAAATTAAAGCAAACTCGTTATATGTAAGAGTTTTTTGTCAATCTCATTTTCATTGGATTTCATCTGATCTAATCATCAAATTTAATTTAGATCAAAAACTTTGTTGATGATCAGGTTTGGACAGTATAAATATAAAAAATGCTTTAAGATGAGGTGATTCTAACTTTTAAAAGCATAAAGTAAAACAAAATTTAAATAAAATTACAATTTCAGCTTTATTAACGATCGAATTATGATTAGTTTATTGTTTAATTCCTTCTTTTAGTCGAGCTGCTTGACTCAAGCATCGCGAGAACGATTTGTTAACCGCTAGATGGTGATAAGATGCAAAATCAGCTGTTAATACTGGTTTATTTGCATTGCATGTTCGAAAGATGAAAAAAGTTTGTAATATTTCATCAATAAATTATTGGATTTTTTTATAACAACGTACATGTTTTGTTCCAAAATTAATTAATCATTTGACTTTGTACTTTTTTTAGTAATTACATTATTCATTTGTTTAACGGATCCATTCATCTACCTTTTCATCCGGCATGTTTAACTCTCGTCTGATGCATGTCGTCTGATTTCCGAGCATCATTTTGTCGTCTGTTTAATTTAATTGTTTTTTGTTAATCTAAAATTTGCTAAAGTAAGTCAATTTTTATCAATTTTTTTCTAAAATCATCATTGTAAAACATCGGCAAATTTCTATATGGTAAGCCTGAAATCTGGCTCGAATCGCATGTTTATATTAGTGAAACCTTCAAACTTTGTGCCGCATGATTCTGTCAGTCGATTTTCATGTCCATAAAAGTTCAGTAACTTGAAGTAGAATAGCTCATGTTTTGATAGAGTCTCTTTTAACCCAATTAGGCGGTATCAAAGTCCTTTCTTCTCCAATCCTTTGTAACTTTAGTGCGAATGGTAAAGATTAATAAAATCCCAGCAAGTTAAGCTTTTGTTTTAGCTCTACGAGTACTGGCAAATAATTGAGATTTTGGAATAAAGTAGCTTGAATCAAGCACTTGATCAAGCTAGCTTTCCAGATTCATATTGTATTCAGTTTGAGAAAGCTTTTTAGTCTCAAGTGAGTTTGAGTTTTTCTAGACCATTCATCAATTAATCGCCATTCAAGCGCAAAAGATAGCGATGCTATTTGTCTTAGGGTTAATGATTCGCCTGTTTACTCTTATTATCAAACGACGAACATATCACTGATTGATTAAATTTTTGACTTATAGCTGTGTATAATGATTGTACTTTTACTTTTTCAGATCTATTTCTTTTGCATTCTATACCATTTCTTCAATTGGCGATTAAAGCATGAGTAATCTAATAGATTTAAGTGATGATGACGAAGCTCCATCAATTGAAAATGAAGAAATGATAGTTGGCCTGCCGCCTTACAAAAGAGTCTGCTTTCGAAGATCGTCCATGAAAGCAAATCAAGCTGTTGCATCATTCGAAAAAGAAGCATGCCTCAACCTTCCAATTATAGGTAATTTGTTAATTATTGTCCCTCAACCAAAATCACTAACAATTATTTCTTTGCTTAAGTTGACGGAGATAAATCGAGTAAAGTTTTCAAACAACTCAGCCTAATAAAAATCAAAATGAATACTCCACTGTTTGAAGAAGATTTAAGGTCACATTCTTCTACTAAAAAGCCCATTCGTCTTTTGGTATTGTCAAACTTACGTGATGTTATGTTGGTAGTTCAAAGAGGAAAAGAATTCTTCGAATTTACTGGAAAAATGGAACGAGATTACTGTGACTATAATTTTTATAACGGGTTTAGTGCGTCATCTAGCTTTATTTTGTCGATAAGTAGTGAGATTACAAAACTTCATGGAGAAGATAGCAAATACTTGATAATTAAAATTTTGTTGACCACAAACACGATTCAAGACTGCAATCTTGATGATCAGCCAGTACATAATCAGAATCAAAACGTCATGCGTGTAATGTCGAGTATCTTTCAATATCCTGATACCATTCCACCTTCCTCAGGAAGAAGAGAACGCCGTCTTATACACATCGAAGGAATATACTATAAAGTTAGAAAATATCACGATACTGAACCGTCTTCATTCATTTTACCACAACCGAAAAAACTCTTCCCAACTTTACGAAATTACCAAAGAAAAGCTGTTCAATGGATGTTGCATCGAGAAAAGTGGATTGGTGAACCTGACTCTAAGATGAACTCAAATAAATGCTCAAAACCTCATCCTCTATGGGTTTACAATGAACAATTGGACTTACAATACAACTACTATGCTGGTTATTTCCGAAAGAACGATCAAGAAATGGTTCTTGGTCCCTCGGCTCTTGGAGGTATTCTAGCTGATGAAATGGGATTGGGTAAAACTGTTGAGATATTAGCTCTTATAATGACTCACCCTCGTCCAAATTTTATTTTGAAAGCTCCAGAAATGCCTCCTAAACCATCAAAATGTAAAAATATGTTCGTTTGCCGTTGTGGGGTGAAATCGAAAGCTGCGAACAAAACCCCAATAAAATGTTCAAGATGCGGCTCCATCCAACATGAACAGTGCATTAAATATAAAAAAAGATGGAACCATCTTCCTTATTACTGCCCCTACTGTTGGACTGACCCAACAGTTGATAAACTCAAGTCGAAAGCTACTTTAATCATTACCCCTGAGTCAATTTATTACCAATGGCGAGAAGAGATAAGAAAACACGTCGACTGTGAATCTACAAATATTTTGCTTTACGACGGAGTTGCATCAAGTTACATTTACCCTTATGAATTGGCTGAAAACGACATTATTTTGGCTTCGTACGAAACGCTTTCGAGTGATCTAAAATTTGTAGATTTACCTAATGAAGAAAGATTCAGACATCCAAAGCGCTTTAACTTACCGCCTACTCCTCTTCTAGCAATGGATTGGTGGAGAATTGTTCTTGATGAGGCTCAAATGGTTGAAAGTGTTTCATCACAGGCAGCTACAATGGCAGGTCATCTAGCAGGTATTAATCGTTGGTGTGTTACTGGTACTCCTGTTCAAAAAAGTATTAACGATCTCTATGGACTAGTCTTATTCATTGGTGAACAACCTTATTGCAATATTCTATGGTGGAAATTGCTGATTGCTGAACCTTACTTCCAAAAAAATACGGAGCCATTAACTAATTTATTAAAAGACTGCTTTTGGAGAAATTCTAAAAGAGATGTTGCCACCGAATTAGGATTGCCCGAGTGTACAAAGCATATAATAAAAGTCAACTTAGCTCCTATTGAAGCGCATTTCTATAAGCGCCAGAAAGAAAAATGCTTACGAGTTTTCTCTGATAATCTTTCTCGCCTCGATGATCTCAATGTTTCGCTCAAAGAGCTGGACCACAAGACTGCTGAAAAATTTATGCAACCTTTGTTGAAACTTCGTCAGGCTTGTTTGCACCCTCAAATTGTTGGAAATCAAATGACTTCAATTACAACAAAAACTTTGACTATGGAAGCGGTTCTGGAAAATATGATAAAAAGAACATCACGGGAATGTGAAGAAGATCATCGTAGAATTATATCTGCACTCAACGGACAAGCAGGAATTTACATAATTAAGGAAAATTGGCCAAAAGCAGTCGAAGTTTATCGTAAGGCTCTGGCATCGATCGAAAATTACAAAGAAAAGCTTAGAACCGATAAACTTCAACTTTATCATACACTATACAACCTTGCCGAAGTTTTTGATTTGGTTAAAAACAGCACTGATGAAGAAACACGAAGCTCAATGAAAACTATTGGTTATACACTCAGAGATGATGATTTGAAGAAGGAAGCTGAAAATATAAGAGATGAATACCTAGCAAAAGGAGTCAGTCAAATCGATGAAGCTAAGAAGAATTTAAAATCAACATTGGTTACTTCTAATTCTCAAAAAAAGATTTTAAATTCTGACTGGTGGGTGAGAGCGATCGGCGTAATTTTAGACAATGAAGAAGAAGATCAGTTAATGGCTAGAATCAAAGAAGGTTTAGAAGAACGTGCTCTTCGTAGTTTGGTTAAACATGGTAAAGTCTTTAAGTATCTCGCTACTCCACATCGTGATATTCCTGGCTTACAATATGTTATCGCCAATGGTTTGGACGAACTTAAACAGACAAGAGAAGAGCTGATTGAAGCTGTTCACGAGATGAGATCAAAGCCCAAAAAAAGAGAGTTCAATAAAGCTATTGATTGCCATTTAAGACCCAGAAGGGATGAAAGTGGTAAAATTATTCCTGCTGACAAATGTAACTATTGTGTGATTCATGAAATATTCAATATTTATGAAGGAAAATTGTATTATTTTGCTGAGAAGGATGATGAGGACAAAGAAAAAAATGATGAGCGAGATGCTCGCAATCCGCTTTCAGACGATTTAGCATCTGATCTTCCTATATTAGAGGAACAGAGACGAGGTAATTGGTCTGGTAGTGAAATTGAACAAGCGTTGAAAACGATTCTGAGTATGATTGCTCGTCAATCTGACATAAAAGATATTCAAACTTCAGGGAAGAAAATGATGGATTTCTTTGAACAATTAAAAAAAGAGTTTAAAGCTCTACGATCGGTTTGGATGAACATCTTTGATTATGTGTCTCTTTTGGATGAACTCAATATGGCTACCATTCGATTGCGAGCTCGTTACCCTGATGAACCTAAGCCTGATGAATCAATAAAGTACGTTCTTGAGCCAAATGAAATCGATTCAAATTTAATGCAATTGGAAGCTGATGAGAAAATAAATCAAGCTGATTTGAAAAAGAATCTTTCTCAACTCAACTTTTTATTCAACCTCAAGAAATCCAAAGTCGGCCAAAATGGTGGATCCAATCCAGACCCATGTCCAATTTGTACCAATCCACTTGGTGTACATTGGAGTACTTTGAATTGTGGTCACACTTATTGCATCGCCTGTTGTCATATTATGCTCGGAGAAGAGCTGAAAAATTCCTGTTCACTCAAATGTGCCATTTGTAGACAAGTGACTAAAGCCAATGAAATTATTTATGTTGATGCTCGAGATCCAGAAGAATGTGATGAAGCAATAAAAGTTGTAGGCTCTTGGTCTTCTAAAGTTGAAATGATAATTAGAACTCTTATAAAGATTCGTTCAAAAGAGCCCGATGCTAAATGTTTACTATTTTCCTCGTGGATCTCATTTCTGGTTTTACTGGGACGAGCTCTTGAACAGAACAAGATCAAACATGTTATTGCAACTAACAAGCGAAAATTAGCTCGAACTATCGAAATGTTCAAAAACTGTGATTCTCATGTTCTACTTATGCCTATCAATCTAGGATCTAAAGGGTTGAATCTCACTGAAGCTTCTCATGCTTTCCTGGTTGAACCATTGTTAGATCAGTCTCATGAGTACCAAGCTATTGGTAGAATTCACAGAATTGGTCAAACAAAGTAAGTCTTTATTTAAAATGAAACATCTAAATATTGGCAACAAAATAATAAGTAAGCCAAATTATGATTTTAATATTATTTCTTTTTCTTTTCAGACCAGCTAACGTCTATAAATTCATTGTTAATCAAACGATAGAGGAAAAAATTGCCGAAATGTTTTCACTTGATTGTGACTTCGATGAGTATTCCGATTTGACTGACAACAAAAAAATTTGTAGCACTGTTAAAGATATCTACGATATTCTGTTGAGTGATGAACCATCAAAAATGGAGATCGATGATTAAAAAATTTCTTTGTTTTGCATTTTTCATAATTATTGTTATAAATACTTTTTGCCCACTTATTTGAAATTAAAGATTATGATTATTTATTCAATTAATTTACTGGAATTTTTGCCTTGGCCTGGTATAAATACTAGATCTTTCAGAAAGTTCTGCCGTCTTCAGATAAATAGTTTAGATAAATATTCAGAAATTGTTATTCGACTATTTTGTTTGATCATTGAAATATAAATCTTCAAATCAAAAACGTTGAAAATTTCGAATAATTTTATGTTTCGAATGATTGATAATCACGAATCAGCATTAAGAAAATTCGACACCTATAAGAAATAAACCTTTTATTCATATTTATGAAAGTATCAATAAAATTTTACAAAATTTAACGCTGGACTCAAATCGAATTGGTGAATAATTGCAATTTTTGAAAACAAATCAGTTGATGAATTGCATAGCTTCATCGGGAGATATTTCACTAGCACTAATCTCTTTATTGGAAATCAATGTAATTTGTTTCTTAACTATCATCTTCCAGACTGACTTATGAGATATTTGTTTTTTGTAACTCATCATGAACTGATTAAAAACATACGGAGCATTGAATTCGATACTTTTTTTTCGATACTCCTCAATAATTTTGATTATTTTACCATCGTTGAAACCAAGAAGATCTTTGGCTAGTTCGTTCAGTTGCTGAGTGAATTTGGTAAACATTTCCATTGTTGCGCTGTCTAGCTCTAGACTCGATTTATCAACTCCATTTTCTGATTCTATTAGGCCTTTGTTTAAGGATACCTCAGTCAGCGTTTCTAAATCGCTTTCAGATTTTATCTTCTTCGGTGGGTTGCAAATATTGTTTGAATTCTGTTGGGATGAAAACCGCTTTAAAGTTTCGACTAATTTGAACTTTTCTTTGAGATTCCGAAAAACTGCTTCACAGCGCTTTAAAATGTGTGGTGGCGTAGTAAGCGTTTGATCCTCGATAATCTCTTTGGGCAGCGGAACATTTGGCGTCAAGTATCGATGAACAATGGCTTTAAATTGAATCCTGTCAAATGGATCATGTACAGCTTCACAATTCAGATATTCCACAAGGTTTCCAGATGGGTCCTTTTCAACTAGACTCATCATTTTAATCAAATCATCAACTAAATCTAATTCACTGTTCGAAGGGACATCTTGTGGTCTTTCTTTCTCATCAATCAAAGGTGGAAATGAATAGCGCCTGATGTCTTCAGCGAAAGGTAATTGGTTATAAATAAGAACTAATGAGTCACCCATATAACATGGAGTAAGACATCCGATTTGAGGATTGCATCGAATTGTTCTCATCATAGAAACTATTGCAACACTTTTTGCGTCCAACATTGCATGAGTTAATACATTAAAAGCAACGGAAGGGGCGAAATCTTTCGCTCTAATATCAGGAATAAAAATCATTGATCTAGATCCAGTAAAGAAAAACTGTCTGATGTTATCCTGAGGGGTCCAAAATAGCACTCGAACAGCAGGTGGCCAAAAGCTTTGAAATTTCATGGCTTCTTCATCTTCGGGCGTAACAGGTACAATAATTTTACCTAATAGATAAGCTTTAGCTATCTCTTCTTTGTCCAGCTCAATATTAGATTCCTCGCTAGTTTTGTAATTTACATTTCGAGAAAGCGGTATGCTGGCTTGATGATGAGATTCTCTATCTTCAGAAGGTTCATATTGTGAATCCTTTTCAGAAGGTTCAATATAAGCTTTTGACCATGTTCGTTTTTTATGCTCCGTGGTTTTAATATAACCAGTGACTGGAAACATCAAATCTTGTCCAACACAGATTCTAGTATACCATGGAGCAGCATTTTGTTCAGAAGGTTCAAAGTAAGGCAGGCTAGAGACAGCAAAGTCAAAAGTAAAAACTGAGGTTAATTTGTCCAAGTTAATCAAGAGTTGAAGAAAATGATCATGGCATGGAAAAAGATTACGTCTTGCGGAAAGCTCATCGAACGTGTAACGGCATCTAAATGGGAAATTGAGTAGTTGCGTAAGTTTTAGCATATGATAATTTAAACAGATTAAATTAAATTTAAATAATGATACTTACACAACGTTGAGGTACAACTCGCGAGGTTTACCGATATTACAAGAATAGAGGATAGCCTCAGGTCCACTTATAGTAAAACTAAAATTTGTGAATAATCCAATTTTTTTACGCTCATATTTTGTTTTAGGGTTTGGTAGCGTATGCATTAACTCAGCAGTATAACTCAATACATCAATCACTAAATCAAACAGTAGATAATAGTACAAAATTATTAAATAATTTCAATTAAATCGAGGTAAGAATCTAACATAATTTATAAATTGAGTGATAAATTCAGGATTACTTACATTTACCCACATTATCTGTAGGTTCCAATGATTTAATAGTTTTCAGCAATTTGAGATTGGCAACACCAAGATCACTCAATCTAGCAACAAATGGGTATTCGGATTTTTCTGCATTTTTCGAATCATCGATCCCTAAGCCAATCAAAATGTATTCAAATTTAGATTGACAAAAGATCTTCTGTTCTATGATCTGAGTCAGGCAAGTTTTAACCAAATCCATGTAAGTTTGGCCATTTCTATACTCTTGTCTCATATTCGGGCCACAATCGACGACCAAAGCAACTAAATCCTGTTGTAAAGAGATTATAAATTAACACCAGGTCTTGTAATAACAATTTTAAAAGACTTACCTTAGGTTTTCGCGACATTTTGAACCTTCCGAAAATAATGTTTAAATGAAACAAATTAAAAATTCACAATGGTTAATTGTTGTTGAAATGTTAAAATGTAAAACAGCCAATCAATGTAAGCTTTTTTATTTAGACTCTCAGCTGAAATACGCACAAAAATTCGGCGCCAATTTTTGTATTTACAAAAAAGCCATTTAAAGCTGATGCAATATCAGGCGTAGTTATAGTAATCTGTTATAGTAGTGCATAAATCAATTGAAGAAATTACCATGAATTATTTTTTAAGAATCAAATGAAGAAGATATAATTGATAGAAATTTGATTCAGGCTAACAAGTTTTGTAAGTCTTTTCACTAATTTACTGATCAAGTCTAAATATTTTTACATTGATTTGACAAATTTTGTTTTCATAACAACCCCAACCTTGAAAAGCTTATTATTATCGCTGAAGCAGCTGACTCAAAACAGTAAACCTTTGCTTCGATGTTATTTGTTTACTTGCTCTTTCGTCTTTTTTAAACTCATTATTCAATTACTTTAGTTATTATTTTGTTCTGAATTTTCAACCCTTATTAATTTCAACAGTGTTTTCTATCACAATCAATGCTCAAAGTGTATAATCCTTATCTTTAAAATGCATAGTCTATGTGTTCACAACGCCTAACTCTTTCTTGAAATCATTTCTATAAAATACCTAAATTATTACCTAAATTCATTCATTCTCTAGGCCTTCCAATCATTACATAATTTGTCATAAATAATTGTGATGACCCAAATCAGTTCCAGATTACTCCTATGGAGCTAAAAGAGAAAGTGCAATGTGTCAGTGATTTTCTTCGACTTACCTTACTGTAAATATTTTTAGATAATCTTATTATCTAAAATTATACTCCTAATCGTTTTCTCTCTTGTTTCTCCCTCTCACCTGTATTTTCAATTAATATCACTCGATTATTCAGTGATTAAAACTTATTGTTAAAGACTGATATTGTTAAACTATGGTTGAGGCTAAATCTATATCATCTATAACCCTGATCAAGAAAAACATCGTTGATTTCAACGATGCTATCGGTTCTTATATTGGGACTCTTGATGAACATTCACATAAACTCGAAAAGGTATGTAAGCAATCACTATTCCCGAAGACTTATCTAATTATAGTGTTTTTTCTTATCAGATCGATTCAGATGGCGACACAAGATTGCTACGAAGAGAAACTTTTAAATGTTACAGCACTATGAAGAAATTGGACAACCTGCTTAAAGATTTACAAAATTTTGAGAAAACAGTACCTTGGGAGGATTTACCAGAAGCTGCCCATCTTCACAATGAAATTCAAATGCTTAAGATTCGTGTAAATCACTCAAAGGATTCATTTTCCAATCTAGTTGACCATAAAGTTATCATAAATTCGTCTTCAAGTCAAACACACGCGGAAGATTACTCAAAAACTTCTGATGCCAATAATGAACCACAACATGAACAACTGTTGTTACAGCATGAACTTACTGAAGATATAAATAAGCAAAAAAGTATTTGCGAATCATACTTACAACTTCAACGTGATATTCGTGATCTTGATAATACAATGAAAACTTTTGCTAACATTGTCGCCGTAAGTTGATTTTCTCATATTTTAATCCTGTCTTTTTAATTCATTCTTTTTTTGCATTTTAGAGCCAAGAAGAAACCATAGACAATATCGAAAGTAACATTGAAACAGCACTTGTTAGTGTCCATAATGGAGCAAGAGAACTGTCAAAAGTAAAGTCGAATCATTCAAATATTATTAAGCTCTTCATTGACTAAATTTATTGTTACTAATTCAATTTTTGTTTGATTCTAGGCTGCTAAACTGAAAAGAGCTTTTGTGCCTGTTACAGGGGCTGTTGTGGCAGGATGTGTTGGAGGTCCAGTTGGAGCTTTGATGGGTTTGAAAGTTGGGATTGTGACTGCTATTGGCTCAGCTATTATCGGTTACGGAGGTGGTAAATTAATTCAGAAAGTCAGCACCAAACATATTTCTGAAGCGGACAAACATTTAAGCGAATCTGAGCCTATTGTTAATAATGTGAAAAAAGAGGATTGAAAAGATTATCATGAATTGCACATTGGAAATGAACATTGGAATAAGAGAGTTATCCAACAAGAATCTGTAATACTTATTTTACTTGACAAAAGTAAACCAAAAATTCATCTATTATTGTTGACTGTTAAACCATCTACATGATCTGTCTATCTGTTGTTTAAGATAATGTCAAGTTTGTCATTATTTTACAGAAAATTTAATATTTTTACCTTAACACCTTTTTATGAATGTATTAATTATTCTATTAGACTGCGAATATCATGCTTTTAATGTTCTATTCACATGAATAATCCATCTCATGAGTCTTAAGAGTTGTATAAAATCAAAAAAAACTTGTAATTAATTCCTTTGTAAATTATCAGCTCCATTTTTAAAATTATACTACAAAAACTATCTCCAACAAACAAGGAGACTCAATTTTAATGATTCACTCAATCAACTGTTTATATCGAGCTCAAACATTTTAATTCGCAAAATATAATAATTTGATTTTTTAGCAAATAAATGTTGATCTAATCCGACTAATAAGTGTATTTATTCTGAATTTAATTACCCGAGCAGGCATGAGAGCTAAGTGTGAGGAGCAAATATCGATTAGGTTTAGATGAAGATAGAGGAGATGATGCAGCTTGTACCAGAATTGCATTGATCTCTGTGATAATCATTGTTTGTACCATTTTTACAATCAAATATTAAATTGTTCTGTTCTAATTGTCCATATAATTGAACTATTTATGGAATGACATTTGACAATCTTATTTTTATCCTTAAAACATTTGGTTGATTACATCTAATCGTCTATATTATTATTGTTCTTTCAACATCCTTCAACTCTCCCCTTTTTCACCTCGACCTTTAAATAACAAATATATTTTTTGTTGTCCTTTTTGTAAAATATGGTCCTAAATTGGTAAGTCTGAAAATCTATTCTTTTAAAATCGAAATTTATTTAGTTTTGTTAACTATTTAACCATCATTATTCGTACATTACAACTATTTTAACCAACTACAATCAGTGGTCCAAAAATCAATCATTTTGTGAATAGGAAAGACCATATGGGAATCACTAGTTCTCTCCTTTGCTTTTGGTATTGTTGTATTTACAGTTATTTCGATGATTTTTATTTGTGATATTATGATGATTTACTGTATCTTGTGATTATATTTTATTAATTTTCCTCAGTCTATAACTTCTAACAACATTAATGTAATCATTTGGAAGTGAATTAGCCATTCGATCAGAGATCAAAGCAGTTTTCAAATCATCAAGTCTACTTTCTACATTAATTAATATAGAAACCATTCAAATACTGCTGATTCAATTGGTAATTAAAATTTTCCTTGTTTATTTTTTTTAAAGTAATAAGCCTTTCCTCAAAACTATTGATAATATTATTTAGCTAATTAATGATGAAAACTGTGTTTGCTCAGAAGGATTCATTGGTTGTCACAGATGATAAGGTTTATAATGCTGATGATGGTGGTGGTGAAGATCCTGATGTAAATGTCATCATTGAAAAATGATTGAGAAAAGAGAAAGAGACAACAAAGACAGAATGATTCAGTTGATGCAGGAAAATAACATATGTCACTATTGATTTCTTTAACCAGTGTTTTGATCGGATTTCGGTTAAATTTGACTGTAATTTCTTTGATATTTTGTGATTCGCAGCGAGAAATTGTTTTCAAAAATTATATATTTGTTCATCTTTTCTTACAGTTGACCATCAGGAATTGTGTCAATGCGTTCATGTGCTCTGGTTCATCTGTCAAAATCTGGTGTTGATGTGTCATGAGTTGATATTTGCCAAGTGAAAATATAGAGACAATAAAACAACGCAATTGTGATTATGAGTTTACTCGAGGATGATGGATCATTAGTAAACACAACTGGCGATCATAACGAGGATGCGGAAATCAAAAAAGATGTATGTTACTGTGGTACCGATGCTGACGAAGAGACTAATGATGATAGTGACGAGGAGGAAGATGACGACGATGATGATTTAAATTACTATACTGATAGTCCGGCAGAGTGTGGAAGTAATAATAGAGATGAAAGATATACAAACCGATTGAAGAGACTGGAAGATGAGCAAGAACAATTAAATTGTTCGCTGATTGCTCTGACATCACATTTTGCTCAAGTTCAATTGAGATTGAAGCAAATTGTAGAAGCATCATCCGAGGAGAAAGAAGTTTTACTCAAACAGCTCGAAGAGTTTGCTTTTCGTGGTATTCCAGATCTTCGGGAACCCTCCATACCTCAAAGAATATCTGAAAGTGAAGACGAAGACTCTAAATCATTGATTACAAATGATATAAATGTCAATAATAAACTAGAATTTCAAAGACAACGGCAAAAAGAGTTGATTCACAAATTAAGGGATCAATTGGAAGAGTTGGAACAATATGCGTATGAAACGGGCCAGAGTAAAGCGTTGCCATCATCTTTATTGTTAGAGCGACAAACAGTTATAATAGAGCAGTTGAAAGGTAAACTTCCATTACAATTAGATCAATTTGATAAATTATCTACCGAGGAATTAAGACGCCAAGTTGATGACGCAATTAGAGAGGTGAGTAAAACAGCAACAGCTGATAAATCAATCCAGAGTTTTGATTTCACCTGGATTTGTTGACCATTGAATCCAAATGTTTATTAATTTTGACGTTTTCCTTTCACTTTCTTCCAGCTTGTCAACCCTGCTCTAATGAAAGAGCAATTAGTTAATCAATTGAAAACTCAAGTTAGCGATTTAGAAAGGTTTATTGAATTTCTTCAAATAGAGGAATGTGGTGTACGAAGAGGTAAAAGAGGTAGCAAGTGTACCTGTAATTGTCCATTGCATGGAAACGCTCAAAGAGCTTTGGTCAAGAAAATAGACTTAACTCCTGATAGGATGAAAGATCGTCGTCCTGGTAGACGAGAAAATGGTAGACGTAGTTTAGCTGGCGAAGGAAGCTTCTCTCGAGATCGAAAGGAAGTTGTTTTTCGTATTATTCGTCGAGTTGTTACACTTCTTCAATTGTTTACATTCGCTCAGTTTGGCTGCAATGGATTAGGTCAAACACTAGAACGTAGTATGGCCAAGAAACATTCCAAAGGAAATCATTGGGGAGATCTAAGAGCTAAATTGGAGATGGCAATAATCAAATTACTGGAAATTAATGAAGAAAAATCTTTCAATGATTCAGATTACACCAGTGATGGTGAAGAGGTAGATAAAAAACTATGATAAGAAAATGCGATGAGCTTTACATTTTATCTTTTATTGTAGATTCCAGTTTTCCAATATAATGAAAAGATGACCAATGCTGTTCGTAAAGAGTTCTGTATTTGTTTGAAAGATCTAATTGAACATGGTTTAACCTGCAAATACAGTGGACCCATCGGAACCTCACTCATACCATCTTATTTCATCGGTTTAGGATGTTTTTCAGCGCGATCAGCTCAATTGTCTCATGATCGTTCCATGACCGCTTGGGATTTGATACTCAAATACTACGAGTTAAAGGTATTAAAGCCGTTTGACGATTTTTGTTTATAGTATTGGCAATAGAAATTAAATAGTTCAACGATAGATGTTGAGTTTAAATTGAATCGATGATTTGTTCAATTGACTCTTTACATTTGTAGTTTAATCTCAAAAATCATAATATAGTTGCTTTTAACTAAAATCAGTTCGTTATTATTTCAAAACTGAGAAAATGCAATATTTTAGTAAAGTTGATATCTCAAGTCAACAGCTGGCGCCTGTTTCATTTATTGCTCTTATTTCCTAAAGCCAATCAAAATTTAAGCTCTTTGATCGATTTATAAAACATTTGGTATTCCGCCAAAATGGGCTAGCTCAGATTAAATAGCCCTTTGTCCAGTTTTTTATTTAATTTCTTATTTTGCCTAAAACTGGTTTGTCTTTGAGTTTTTTATAAAAATTTTTTATTTGTTTTTTCCTAACAGAATGGCCAACAATTCAACTCTTGTCCCGCTCGTCGACTTTCCCAGAGTTTTAATTTAGAGATTGTTGGAAATGTTGCCATCACACCGAAACATTCACTTCTCACAGCTATTGACAATATTATTCAAACCCACACCAAATTGCGACGAAGTCCAGACAGTCATTTCAAAGCTTTCATTTGTGAAGCATTGAAGTAAGAATCTTTAGATTTATCGCTAATTACAAGCATTTTTACTTATTTTGTCTATCAATATTATATCAATCTAACTTATATTTTCTTCTTCTTCTTCTTAGTCAGCGAAAATTGGTTGTTTGGTTAAAACTGATTCTTAAAAATCGTACTCTATTGGATAGCTATTATGAAGAATGGAGTTACACCGCTTCAACTGGATGGGAAGATGCTTTTGCTAGTCTCAGTAAATTAAACGAAATAAAATTCAAATTACCCACCGATTGGGCTGTTCGTCAACTACAGAACATTAACGATGCCTTTAACTGATCTCTTTCCTTTTTCCTTTAAGATTATATTGTTTTATGTATATTTAATCAATTCTATCATTCCAATGTTACAAAATCCAACGATTAAAGAAAGAAATCAAAGAATGTATTGATTCTTAAATTTATTAAAAAATCATTTCACTTCCTTCCATAAAATGAAGACACATTGTAGAGGCTCTATTCATTGAAAGGTATAAGGTATGTTTGTATAAGGCACAAAGCAGATATAGCAAGATTTTAAGATTCGGAAATTGAAGAGTAAGATTTTTTCATTTCCGATTAAATCAAGATACATTGATTGAAACATTTGAAGTGATAAATACAAAAACGGAAGCATTGGGTAATGTTAAGTAACTTTTTTCATGAGATCTCAATAGTTTTCCATTCGTTTCTCCATCCATTTATGATGAAGAGCAAATTATTTTACAAGCATTAATTAGTCTTCCGAGAGTCTCTTGTTATTTAATCACTTGTCTTGTCACTTTAACCCATATCCAGTAAAGTTGAATCTTTGAGTAAATTCACCAAAATTACCAAATGACCTGGACAGCGGGACGCCCATGAAAAAAGCTGCAATCAAACTGGCGCTCAAGAATAAAGCACCACCAGCCAATAATAAGATGAATCCAATTTGACGAATAATTATCATCAATGGCACAAGTACTACACGAGTTATCAAAGGTATCATTAATCTTGATGGGTCATTGGAAGTCAAATCACGTAAAGTTGACATAGCATTGAAAATTGACATGATGAGTTATTGAAATACAATGAGGTAGCAAATTTGACAATTGATCTTGACAGGTTATTTTTGTACTGACCATCCATCTAGCCAGAGATGATCTTTAAATAGCAAATAGACACAAAAAAATGTGGCATTTCCATTAATAACAATAAGACGTTTAGAGTAAAATAAGAGGCTTAAATGCAAATTACCTGTGGGTGTTCAAACTGATGAACCAGGCCAAGATTTCTCTGGAAATAGTCATTTTTAGTTTTGTCAGACTACATGCATCAACTTGTTTACCTGAAAGTGGAAAAGAGTCATTTTAATTGGTTACATTATTTGATTAACTTGTAAATTCATTGTGAGATCAGTTTACCAACATGATGCTAATAGTGTTAAAGTGATACTAATTATATTGACTTTTGTTTTCTCTTGACGTTTATTCGCATTGTTTACAAAGCTTCAACCCAAGTTAACAAGATAACCAACTTAAGAAGTGATGATCAAGGTTCAGATTAAATGGATAGGAAAATGACAGAATCAAGTAAATCAGTTACATGAAAGGAGACTAAGTTATCCGTTATCAATTCTGGATACTCTTTTCATTCTCAATCAGTTTTAGATTATTAACCTTAACAATAACAAGATGTAATGAAACAAACGTAATGTTTATTTAAAAGATTCAATTCCATTGACTGTAAGGAAACATTTGATATATTGTTATCAATAAACATGATCTTTCTCAGCATTCAAGAATAAATTGTTAGCTAATGAATGCATAAATGACTTTAATCGATCCAAGTACAACCATCATGTTAGGCAAGATTTTAAGCTCATATTTTTCATTGAAGTAAAGACAGAGTTGCAATCCTTTCTTGTCGATGGATCTTGAAATTTTGATATTTTCTCGGTTGTTAACAAAGTTGTTGGACATGAGATGGTTAATTAATGGTTAATTAGCTATACAATTGTAAAGAGTTTAAGCTTTGATTGTTTACTATTGCTTAAGTTTAACTGATAATGTTCAATGGTTTATGGAATCACTATCTTGATACATGATTCCGTTTGCGTTTTGATAATCGATTATCAGGTAAAAGTGAACATTTCTGTTATTGGTTTATCATCTATTTCGGTTAAACGCTTTCATTTATGATAAATTTACTGGAACATCTTATAATGGAGTGTTGAGTTAATATTATGACTTCATTTGATTCTTTGATTGTTCCTCAATGCTATTAAAGTTGTCAATAAAACTCAACAATTGATCACAAATGGCATCATAAAATTATGAGCATAACAATAAGAATGAAAAAAAAAGTCTGTAAAAATTGATTGAAATTACATACTTTGTGATGGTAGATTAACATAGAGTAAATAATTTTGATGGTCACCGGAAGCTCCAAACCAAACCAATAATAAAAATGGATCCATGAGAAACAACCAGAAATATGACTTCCATTTCCATTAGCATTATGCTCACAAAAGACTAAACTGATGAACTGATGAACACAAGCAGAAACATGAATATGTTGTTGCTTTCATCAATTTTCAAGCTTTTAAGGAAACGAAGACTAGTGAATGAGTTCAAGACGCTAGAAATAGAAACAATTTCAGGGTCTGGATTCAAACATGAAATTAGATCCTTCCAGTGTTGTTCAAGTCTGTTCTATTCAGCAAGATATAAGGTAAATTAGGTTAAGATTAAGCGATATGTGAATTAATATTTCCTAAATAGTTACTTGTTTCTTTCCATAGACCGTACATCGGTGCATAGAGCAAATGTGACATCTACAGCATGACGTGATTTCAATTTCAATGACAGGAGGAGATTGATTGTTTGGTATCAAGTCTTCATGGTAATACTTTTCAATCGTTTCGAAAAGTGGCGGTTAATTATTAGATTTCTGTTGTGAGAAGGCAAAACCTACAAGATTTTGGGCTATACTTCCCTCTCTGGATCTGAGATCATCAGCACTATCAGCAATACTATGTCTCTTGAAATCAAGTGACCGTAAGCTTTGACAATCATCATCATCATAACCAAAATTGGCAGGAATTTTTTCGGCGACTAGACTAGCGAATTGAGAAAGTAACAAAGCTGGACCACTAACTCCAGTAGAATAAGAATTCTCTTTAGATACTTTGGACGGAGAATTCGTTGCTGAAGAAGCAAGAGTATTCTTAAATCCTGTAATACGATTTGCCATTGTATTGGCAGCTGACTTGATGGTTGAATTAACCAGTTCAATGTGTTTATTAGATGCAAGTTTTGCAGTCCATGGAGAGTGACCATAACTCATACCTCAAATACTACGAGTTAAAGGTATTAAACCCGTTTGACGATTTTTTGGTAATAGCATTGGCAATTGAAATTAAACAGTTCCCTAGATAGACTAGTGCCTAGAGCTGGTGCGTCCAACTAGGTCTCCTAGAAGATAGTAGATAACACAGTAAGTTGCGTCTGGTTGCGGCTAGCCGGCCATAAACCATCGAGAAAAATTCGTGGAAATACTTTATTGCGATTTAGTTGATAACTGAAGTCAACAGCTGGCGCCTGTTTCATTTATTGCTCTATTTCCTAAATTCAATCAACATTTCAAGCTCTTAAATTGATGTTGCATCTTTACTTTTATCTTGTTACAATTTATAAAACATTGGTACTCTGCCAAACTGGACTAGCTCAGATTAAATAGCCTTTTGTCCAGTTTTTTATTTAACTCTCTTATTTGGCTAAAACTGGTTTGTGTTTGAGTTTTTTTATAAGATTTTTTTATTTGTTTTTCCCTAACAGAATGGCCAACAATTCAACTCTTGTCCTGCTCGTCGACTTTCCCAGAGTTTTAATTTAAAGATTGGAAATGTTGCCATCACACCGAAACATTCACTTCTCACCGATTGGGCTGTTCTTCAATTACAGAACCTTAACGATGCCTTTAACCGATCTCTTTCCTTTTAGATTATATTGTTTTATGTATATTTAATCAATCCTAGCATTTCAATTACATACCGAAGTCAGCTTAATTTCAACCAGCCGGCTCAAATTGGAAATTTAGCTGCGCTTGGCTTGAGCTAGCTCGAGCTTTTGGGCAGTAAAATGGCTGCTTATGGCTGGAATCATTCAAAAAACGAATTTAATAAGTTATTTAATGAAATTTTCTGAAAAAACTGTTGCAAAAAAGTTCTTAAAGAAAACTTTTTTGGCTCAAAATGGCTCGCTCGAGCTGGCTCGATCCAATTCGAGCCGTTAAACTTTCAGCTTGGCTTGGCTTCCTTTCTAAGCGGCTCGTGTCTGGCTTCGCTACCTAATCCAATGTTACAAAATTGAATGATTAAAGAAAGAAATAAAAGAATCTTAAATTTATTAAACAATCATTTTACTTCCTTCCATAAAATGAAGACACACTGTAGAGGCTTCACTGAAAGGTATAGCAAGATTTCAAGATTTGGCAATTGAAGAGTAAGATACTTTGATTAAAACATTTCAAGTGATAAATACAAAAACGGAAGCATTAGGTAATGTTAAGTAACTTTTTTGATGAGATTTCAATAGTTTTCCATTTGTTTCTTCACCCATTTATCATCTTCGCAGACAGCATACAACTTCAACTGGTTACGTTCAGTGTAGTGATGTTCAAAAACCTGCCTTATCAAGGTTAACTTGAAAAGTTAGCTCACCTGATAAGTTAGTTATAAGTAAACTTACCATTTGTTACCAGTTAAAAATAAATGAAAACCCAAAGAGTATTACTCTTTGTGCTTTGTGAAAAACCTGGATACGCCTAGTTACGAGTACCGGTAGCGGTCTCGGTAACTCATGGGAATATACAGGGTGCAACCAAAGTTCGAGTAGGTAAAGGAGGGCTTAAGAGGGCTTAATCGAGAAATGGAAACAAATTAAAATTGGTTTCTACGCACGGGGGAAACATTTTGCGCCTTGTACCCAAATTTTAGTTACACTCTGTATACATGTAACTCCACCTTTCACATACATTTCAGTGCATTATTTTTCCGTCAATTGCCTAATACTTTTTACTCCTCACCCTGTATATTCTTGTTAGTTTGATAACTGCATTCTATAAATACAAGACTGAATGCCTCCTCCTCCTCTTCATCATCACCAGAATCAACATTATCGTCTCCTACCTTTTCAACTTTCTCTCTCCCTCTCTCTCTTTCGCTTCTCGAGTTAACTCTTATTTAGTCTAAATTGGTATCTCGAAGCTGAAAGTTGTTGATATCTTTTGGCTTTCACTCGCTTGTTGCCACTTTGAGTTGGCAGAAAAGTTAGATTTTGGTTTGTTGAAGAAGTGCAAAGAGAGATTAGGCAATCATCATCATCATCATTTTCATCATCATTTTGCCTGGAATTGACGGTCATATTGGATAAAAATTTGGATTTTTTATTATCTATTTTAAAAGTAAGATTTACTGTTTTCTACCTAGCCATTGTCAAGCCTTTCCTATATGTTAATGCATTACATTAGCGCAACCTGGTTATGCTAGGTAACTAGCTAACCCAAGTTAATTTTTCTCTATTTTAATCCCATTGTATCTTGATTATCATCTTTTCTTTTACCATTTATATTGACATTATTAGTAAGTTTACTGTTTGCTGGTTCAAATTTTTCTATTCCCGTTTTTCAACAAAAATGGTTAAGAAAAAGGCTGATTTAGATGATCTCAAGAAAGAACTTGATGTGGTAAGTTTCCCCGTTCATTTCTGTTATATCTCTATCCACATAATTTTTTTAAATTGTTTTGCTGTTTATTTTATTATACTTGTTGCCTTTATTTAATGATATTTATGTTTATTTTTACGACCAATTATTCTAAAATGGCCCCTCAACACCAACAATGTGTCTACAATGTTTACCTATGATTTACCTCTATGTTATCGACATCAAATTATTTACCTGTGTTAAAAGGATGACCATATTATTACACTTGATGAATTGTGCTCCAGACTTAAAACTGATCGAGTTAAAGGGCTGACGGCTGCTCAAGCCAAGGCTGTATATGAAAGAGATGGACCTAATACGTTAACCCCACCGCCAACAACACCCGAATGGGTTAAATTTTGTAAACAGCTTTTCGGAGGATTTGCGCTTCTTCTTTGGATTGGTGCAGTTCTATGTTTCCTGGCTTATTCCATCCAAGTTTCAACTACCGATAATCCTTCACCTGATAATGTGAGCTTTTTATTTACTATTCCTTCCTTTATATCACTATTAACCCGAAAATTTAACAATTGATATACTGTGATTATACTATACTACCAAAGGGTCGGTCAGTATAATTGGTATTAGAAGTAATACTTTGAGTAAAAGTATTGAATTTAAAGTTCGGTGTGGAAATTTTATCTAATTTAATAGGTGATTGTTTTATGAGCTCTGTTTTCAGATTGTTGAGCCACTTAGAAATATTAAAAAAATTCTCGAGTAACTTTTAAGACAAAAATAACTTGTAACTCCAATGAAGTTCTTCTAACAAAAGTTTCTTGTCTTTTTCATTTGAAGTTTCAGTTATACCTAGTTATTGTACTTGTAGTAGTCTTCATCGTAACAAGATGTTTTTCTTATTATCAAGAAGCCAAAAGTTCTGCTATTTCATTCATTCGGAATCATTCAAAAGTATGGTTCCACAATATGCTCTAGTCATCAGAGAAGGTCACAGTTTGACTTTGATAAAAACTTTCAGAAATCATTTTCTCAAAACAAACTTGGCTGTTAACCTCAATGATCAACCTTTATGACTTCAAATGCTCAATTCAAACATCTCATATTAAACCTTTGAAATTAAAAGCTTGAACTCAAGGTATGACATCGACAACCGGTATTGAGTATTGAGATCAAAGCTGATTGAAAATTTGCAACTTGTTAGGATTTCATAAAACTTTCAATCCACCTTTCTGTGTTATAGCTTTACAATTATCTTAAAATTTGCCTCTTTCCTTTTCAATCTAAAATTTAATGTGCATTTTAGGAACGTACACTGAAAATTTAGGTTAATATTTCTATTTCCTTTTTTAACCCCTTGCCATCATTATCCATGTTTATCATCTTGTCTTCCTATTTCTCCATATGTTTATAACTCAATGTGAATTCTCATTGAGTTTTAACTTATTCAAAAAACCGAGTCACAAATTATTTTACCTTTTTCCTCTCAGTTACAAATTGATATCAAATCGGCGTTATTAATTAGATTACCCATGTCAAAATATGATGAACACGCTCATTAACCATCTAAAATGAGGAAAATCTGAAGATGAACCTTTCCTCTCCTCTTTTGCTTCTTTCTATTTCTGTTTTCAACAACAACATGGAATGCATTCATGAAAGAAAATAAAATCTCTATGTAAAAGTATTCAAGTGTTTTAGAGAAACTTGGAAGAAAAAAATCGTCCAGATAACTCAAGATAGTGGAAAATCTTCTCAAGTTTTTTATATTCACACTGACTGTGTATACACAAAATGATTTACATGTGTAAGGATTCTGTTGAAACAACCAACTGACAATGCCGTGATGTCCGGTTACCTTTAAATACTAAATGAAGAGCAACCAGCAAACAAAAATCGTTGGTTGTTTTCATTTCTTATTATTTACCTTAAACTTATATTGTTAAATTACGAAAGGAAATCCGAATGTACGTCTGTACTTCTTCTTCCACCTCTTCAATCCCACAAATTGACTGATTACAGCGTTTCTATGAGAAAACAAATACTTTTTAAATAAGTGAAACATTACTCAAGTTCTTGATCTGAATCAAGTTTTACTTTGATAAAAACTTTTAGTCACTTTAGTTTATTCATTGAAATAAAAGACTGAAAGCTGTCTGTTTTTTTAATTGTTTTTTTCTCTTGGCTTTTTGACCTACTTAAAATAGCAACTGTTTCATCTTTTGCTCTTTTCTTTGCCTAGCAAGGTAGACTTATTTGAGATCTATTGTAAAATTTGATTGAAAATCAATTATTATTTTGAAATAACTCAAGCCTGAATCACATAAATTTAAATCGACCGAAATGCGTCTACATTTACATTTTCCTCTTTTCATATTTATTACACCAACCGATTTCCATCGCTGGTTATATATTGCATATTATATTATATTTTACATCTCATTCACGTGTCTGATTTTTCCATTTTTCTCTAGCTCTACCTTGGTTTGGTATTGGCAGGTGTAGTCATTGTCACAGGAGTCTTTTCATACTGCCAAGAGGCCAAAAGTGCTTCAATCATGGACTCGTTCAAAAGTATGGTTCCTCAATTTGCATTAGTCATTCGAGATGGTGTAAAGTTGACCATTCCTTGTGAACAAGTTGTAGTTGGTGATCTTATCGAAGTTAAAGGTGGTGACCGTATACCGGCTGATCTCAGAATTGTCGCCGCTCACCAGTGTAAAGTAGATAACTCTTCATTGACAGGAGAATCCGAGCCACAAACAAGGAGTCCAGAGAAGACTCATGATAATCCTCTTGAAACACGTAACTTGGCCTTTTTCTCGACAAATTGTGTTGAAGGAACAGCTACAGGAATTGCAATTCAAACTGGGGATAGAACAGTTATGGGTCGTATTGCTAATTTAGCTTCCGGTCTTGAGATGGGTCAAACTCCAATTGCTAAAGAAATTGAGCATTTTATTCACATTATTACCGGGGTTGCCTTCTTCCTTGGAATCACTTTTTTCATCATCGCTCTTGCACTCGATTATAACTGGCTTGATGCGACTATCTTCTTGATTGGTATTATTGTAGCCAATGTACCAGAAGGTTTACTTGCCACTGTAACTGTCTGTCTTACTTTGACTGCCAAGAGAATGGCTTCTAAAAATTGTCTGGTCAAGAATTTAGAGGCTGTTGAGACACTTGGTTCAACTTCAACGATCTGCTCTGATAAAACTGGTACATTAACTCAAAACCGTATGACAGTTGCTCATATGTGGTTTGACAATCATATCATCGAGGCTGACACAACTGAAGATCAATCAGGTAAATTAATTTTTTACTACACTAATTTGATTCCTTATGCAGACTTACAAATACTTGTAAAACCTTCCGTTTTCAGCTTGATGTGATCATGTCCATTGAAAGTTACCCATATTTTTAGCTTCTAGCTGCTACAATGAATTCAGATTGAGAATATTAATATTACAAAGTTGAGAGGTTTGATTATATTCTTGGCATATTTATTATTGATAATAATAATATTCTTAATTATTAACGAAAGCGATTTACATGGATATGCATGAAAGTCTGCTAGTTATTCAATTTAAAAATTTGTTTTTTATATTGTAAATTTGAATGAAGGTTTGTTTTAATTTCTTAATTAGTTATAACTGTAGCATTATGAATACAGATCTTACATAACAGAACTTATCATTGAAATTTCTCTATAAGCTTTTGCGAACGCATCAAGCCATTATCATTATAAAGCAATATTAAAGTTGCTTTGACTTTCCAATAGGTCTATCGTATGACAAGTCATCTGCTGGATGGAAAGCTTTGGCTAGAGTATGTATGTTGTGCAGCAGAGCTGATTTCAAAGGAGGACAAGAAAATGTGCCGATACTCAAGAGGTAAATTTACTTTTGATTTTATTATTCAATTAATATAAATACTTATTCAATATCTTTACAATTTATGTTTCAATCAGAGAAACCGTTGGTGATGCATCTGAATCTGCTATTCTCAAGTGTCTAGAGGTAGCATGTGGTGATGTTGCTGCTTTCAGAAGAAAGAATAAAAAAGTTTGCGAAATTCCTTTCAATTCAACTAATAAATATCATGTAACAATACATGAGACTGAAGATCCAAATGAAGGTTATCTATTGTGTATGAAAGGAGCTCCCGAAAGGATCTTGGAACGGTGTTCAACCATCTACATCAATGGACAAGAGAAAGTTTTAGATGAAGAAATGAAACAAGCATTCAACTATGCTTACCTAGAACTTGGCGGTCTGGGTGAAAGAGTTATCGGTTTCTGTTACTTAACTCTTCCCAAAGACAAATATCCTCCTGGATTCCAATTTGATCCAGATGAAGCAAACTTTCCATTAGATGGTCTTAATTTTGTTGGTCTTGTATCCATGATTGACCCCCCTCGAGCTGCTGTACCAGATGCTGTCGCTAAATGTCGAAGTGCTGGTATTAAAGTTATTATGGTCACTGGTGATCATCCCATCACTGCCAAAGCTATTGCCAAAGCTGTCGGAATCATCTCAGAAGGTTCTGAAACTGTTGATGATATTGCTTTAAGAAAGGGTATACCTGTTGAAGAAGTAAATCCTAAAGAGGCAAAAGCTGCTGTTATACATGGAGGAGAGCTTCGAGACTTTACTCCGGACCAGTTGGATGAGGTACTCGCAAACCACAGGGAAATTGTCTTCGCCCGAACATCTCCTCAACAAAAGTTGATCATTGTCGAAGGTTGTCAGCGACAAGGAGCAATTGTAGCTGTTACTGGTGATGGTGTAAATGATTCTCCCGCTCTTAAGAAAGCCGATATTGGTATTGCTATGGGTATCGCTGGTTCAGACGTTAGTAAACAAGCTGCTGATATGATTTTGTTGGATGATAACTTCGCTTCTATCGTGACTGGTGTTGAAGAAGGCCGTCTTATCTTTGACAATCTTAAAAAATCAATTGCTTACACTTTATCTAGTAATATTCCTGAGATCTCACCATTTTTGACTTTCATCGTCTTCAATATACCTCTTCCTCTTGGAGCTGTAACCATTCTTTGCATTGATTTGGGTACTGACATGGTACCAGCTATCTCATTGGCCTATGAACAAGCTGAAAGTGATATCATGAAACGTCAGCCTCGTGACGCGAAGAAGGATAAACTTGTAAATGAAAGACTTATTTCCATGTCTTATGGTCAAATAGGTACCATTCAAGCAGCTGCTGGTTTCTTCACTTATTTTGTGATAATGGCAGAAAGTGGTTTCCTTCCAGGTACACTTTTCGGTATTCGTCATGATTGGGATTCAAAAGCCATCAATGATGTTACCGATTCATATGGTCAAGAATGGGTACGTTATCAGCATTTTTTATCAATAATTGATGATTAATACGAATCAAATTTATCAATATTTTTAATCAATTCATTTATTTTGTCTAAAAACGAATAAATCCATCAAATTCTGCAGATTAATAGCGACATTTAATGGATACTAACGTTAGTATCGTATTTGAAACTTTTTATAGCATTTAAATTGCAATGAAACTCTCTGTTAGACAATTGAGAGTTCTCCTCGTTAATAGATTCAGAAAAAAAGAGAACAGGAGTATTTCTGATTTGTTTTTTTTCTTTTTATGTGTAAAATTTCGTATAATTTACTCAAAATAAGTTTAACTAAACCTGAATTCAAATATTTGAAATTTTCATCTCATTCAACAGACCTACAAAGCTCGAAAGTCATTAGAGTATACTTGCCACACTGCCTTCTTTGTTGCCATCGTCATTGTGCAATGGACTGATCTGATTGTCTGTAAAACTAGACGGAATTCCCTTGTTCATCAGGGAATGAAGTAAGATAAACAAAACCATTGATATTCCTTTTATCATATTTTTTGGCTAATTTTATTTGCTTTTTTCAGAAATCACGTTTTGACCTTTGGTATCTTTTTTGAAACTGCCGTAGCTGCTTTCTTATCATACACTCCAGGAATGGATGTTGTGCTCAAACTTTATCCTCTCAAGTAAGCACCGACAAGAAAAATCAACTTATATAATAATATTTGAGCTCGTTATTTATTATATATATATATTTATACCTAATGCAAGGACTAAAGTAACTGGAAAAAAATTTGCTGATCCTCAATAATTATTAAGAGCTACAGTAGTAGACTCGTTGAAAAACAAGCTGTCATTGCTCATTTTTACACTCATAATTGATTAATTTAATTTATTTTTCTCTGTTTAAATTATAGGATTTCATGGTGGTTCCCAGCTTTGCCGTTCGCTCTACTGATTCTCATTTACGATGAATCTCGTAAATTTATTATTAGACGTAGACCTGGAGGATGGGTTGAAAAAGAGACTTACTACTGAGTTACTCTCGGTGTTGATCATTACCATCATTTTCATCATAATCATTACAATTATTTTGCTTAAAGTAGCACTGCTCAAATCACCTCGTCATTCATTCAGAGACCACCATGCTAACCCATCAATCAAATTTAATTTAAAACAATATTAGTAATGATTGTTGTGCAAGAGACTCAGCTTAAAATTTCAGTTGATATTATGCTTTGGTGGAGAAGAAAAAAGTTGCACTTAAAAACTATGAGCATTAATCAATTAATCGTTGCAACAAAAACTTTATCCAATTTCAAGACTATGCAAGAAAATTGTAATTTTAATCTTTCTCATTATTTTCGTTTCAGATCAGAAGATAAAATAACAACTAATCAGCTAAGAAAATACATTACAAAAATTCAGATTTGAGCTTCAAGTGAAATTTCATCTCAATCAACTCCTTCTATTTCAAACTATTTAAAATTATTACATTAATTATTGTATTTAATTTAAAAGTTTAATGGATGGTGTCGATTTAGCATTTACCATTTCGTTATTTAATCTTTTGCTTTTATCTACAACTTCCAAATGTTAGCATTTCCTTGCAAATTTTCGTTCTCAGTGAAGCAGATAAAGCGAATCCTTGTTTTTTTGAGGTTTTAATTATTGTTGTTTGAAAAAATTATGAGTAACAATCTGTTTTTTTTGTAAAAATTTGGTAGGGTCAATCATGGTATAATAATTCAACAAAATTGTAATTTTATTAGTTATTACCATTTTTAACAAATTTTAACAGCTTTTCATTGTCAAGCTAGCTATTTCGCTGAAAATTTTTGATACAACAAGTATTCCTAAACACAACAATCAGAGCTAATCAATAAATCTCTCAAAATCGTCCATTCTATCAAGCATTTATCCCTTATTTTATTAAACTATTGAACCATTGTTTTCCCAATCAACATAAAAATCTCACAAATGGTGAAACCAACTGCTCGTTATCCTAAATGCTAGGTTTTAACGCGACATGAAATTACAGTCAATAATAAAGAGAGACCAAAAATATTGACATTTTCTTGCTGGCATTTGACGCTCATTCATGCTCATATTACTTTTCATGTTACTTTTCAATTACAACAGTAAGTATGAGTTAGTTTAATGGTAAAAGAAATAATAATTGATAGTCCAATGGGTAAAGAGTAGGTTATGTTAAATGTTAATTAGGATAGGATTGAGGACACAAAGCTGGTCAAGGTAACATTTTATGTCAATTACAATTATTTCCTCTCGATAATGAGCATCTTCAATTCGATTGGCGTGGTTTTTGACACTGATTTAAAGCTGAATAGTTGGCAAATGTGTACATGATGACTGGGTTATCATTATACAACTGTTTCTAAAAACAACCAGTTTCCTTCAATTTTTTAAATTGCAGGATAAAAATGTAAACCTTGGATAAGATTTAAATCTCTAAATCTTGATTTCCGTAAATGAAATAAAAAATATTTTAACAAAAATTATTAAAGTGCAGCATAATCAAATGGTACGTACTATTACGTAGTATGTTTTTTTGAACAATTACAAACTAATAGTTACTTAAATTTTGACCTTAAATCTTAGTGTAACCAAATATTGATTTAATATTTGCTTCATGATAATAGTAATGATTGTTACACAAGAGAATCGCAAGATGAGCGCAAAATTTCAGCAGATGATATGCTTTAGCTGGAGATGAAAAGTTAAACTGAGAATGAATGATCATTAATCAATTAATCGTTGCAACAAAAATTCATTATTTGCTTTTAGATCATAAGATAAAATAACTATTAATTAGCTATATAAACAAATGGCAAAAATTCACATTGCAATTGAAATTTACAATGTTCATCTCAATTAACTCATTTTATTTCCAACGATTAACCGATGGTTTCAATTTAGCTGTAATCACTTTTCATTTCGTTTGTCTAATCTTTTGCTTCTCCCAGCACTTATTTCAATTCTCTAAAACTTCTGAATGTTAGCATTTCAATCTGTTTCTTAACTCCCTTTAGCTCATTTCTTCGCAAATTTTCGTTCTTAGTGAAGCAGATGAAGCGATGCCTTGTTTTTGAGCTTTTAGCATTGTTATTTGAAAGGAGAAAATTTAAATTCTGTGAAACAATCTGTTTCTTCTGTAAAAATTCGATAGAGGTTAATTCCCAAAAAATGTAACGAGGTCACCTTAGAAATGTAAACCTCGAATCTTGTTCCTGAACCAAATCATAGGGAAGATAACTGGTAGAATGGTGAAATATAGATGTTGAATAATTACGAAATAATAGATCAGAGTTTGATATTAAATGTTAGTGTATCCAAACATTTGATTCATTAAAATAGTAAAATGGGAAAAAAGCAAGAAAATAATGATAGTAAAACTCATGATAGCATGAGAATGAATCAAATATTACACTAATTTGCCTGAATATTTCAAATTTCACAACAATAATTGAAGGAACCATTAGAGTGATTGAATTTAACTGTTGACGCCCAAATAAAATGGAAGTGACCATTAATGGTTTATCGATTACAATATTCATTCAGTTTTACGAAGCAATAAGGAGTGGTCCCCAAAAAATAGACAAATTTGTCTGTTTTTTAACTTGAAAACTATTGAATAATTGTCATTGAAATAGAGGTGATACATTCACTAAGGACCGATGATGACCTCCGTTCATAACTGGCTCCGGCTCTCCATAATTTTGAGTTGGTTGACCCAACGTTATTAGTATCTTGACAATGTTAAAGACAGTTAATACAAACTTAACTTATTTGGTTCATAAAGCTTGGATTATATTTGACAAAACTTGACTATCAAATTATGTTCATCATCCCATTCAAAACGCTTTACACTGTTTAATTAAATATTTTGATAGACAAAAATTTGAAAAGTGCATGAGATTCTGATTAATTTGAGCTTTGAATCATTTATTTAAAGAAACTTAATCTGGTTGAATTTTGTTTGAAAATTTGTCTAATTTTTAAGGACCACTCCTTACATTATCACGTAATAACCAGGCAATTACAATCAAATTTACTCTTCATTCATGGAGTAAACTCAATTCACCGTTACTTGTAATACTATAATATTTTATTGATTTTGTCCTTAACTTCATTCATTCATTCATTCATTTTATTCACTTGTTCAATGTCGAAATATTGCCATCATATTAATATATTTCATTGGGAAACCATTTTTTGCTATCTCTTGTAATCATAATTAGTTTATGTTGCTCGATAATATATAGTCGATAAGTTAATGCATTAATGATTTTGTATTAACAATCACAATTACAGTGAGCATTAATTGTAACAATGTTTGTCTTTTTGTTGGAATAATGACAAAACAGAAATCATTTTAGTATATTAATATAAAATATTTTACCTTCTTCTAATCAATTATCGATATTTCTTGTAATGTTAACCATTTAATTGTGCCAATATTTTGGCTTCAGATATTTTTATTGCCAATCATATCTCAACCTTAGTAATCCTATCTAGTATTTCAATTACAATTAGATTTACAGTCAATTTTCATTGTAAACAATCAACCCAAATCTAACCCAAATATATAGTTTCTCTAGAGATCGATGAGAGAAATTTAAAATCGATATTTGATTATTTATTATACCTTTGATATTTTCATTGGTATATCGGTCATTTGCTATGATCATAGAGGAATACATTTTTCATACCGAGATCAATATTAAAATATCTTTTCAATATTGTAAAATTTCATTGACCTGAATTCAGGATTTGCTTCAAACACCGAAAGCTATTGAATACACATGGTGAATGAAATAAAGTAAATTGATAAAGCAAAATTGTTGATTCGTTTTTGTTAACAATTTTATTTCTCAATCTATTTCGACAGTCAATTAATCACTTTCACGAACAAATAATTTTCCCTTTAGTTGTTAAAATTTACCCAATTTTGTCATTATTAAACAAATATTAAACAATGAATCTTTCTCCCAATCATTCAATATGGTTACATAAAAAAGGTAGACAATTAGCCTTCTTTTTTGTATTGATTCAATTACAATCGGTTAGATTTGTAACCGTCTCTTGATATGTACTATTCTTGGTGATATGATTGTATTTCAATTTGAAAATTAGGAATAAAAATAGGATCACAATCGATAGATAATTGTAAAGGAACGCAAAAAGCAACTTTAAAAGTAAACTCTAAGGTAAATGATTTGACAATGTTGTAAATCAGGATGAAAGTGTAATTAAAATGTAATCACAATTTTTGTGTCTATACAATTCACAATCATCTTAATTGTTACATTTTCTTGACTAAAAACGAGTTGATCCATCCTTTGGTTGTCACAATGTAAACTGTAAATGGGGAAGAAAGCAAAAAGATCATATTTTTTGCTTATTTATCACATTGATTTGACATCATCAGTTTTAAATTGCTTGAACAAATCTATTTTTTGTTGCAAATTTTGTGAAAACAATTTAAGCCAGTTATTATATTTTGCTTTGGTAAATTTCAATTGTGAGGTTAATATGGGAACGGGAAAGAAAAGGATTGTTATAATCATTGGCATAAACTATTAGAATATCATTTTTTTAAACAGATTTTTCAAGTTTTTAGTTTGATTAAGGATGAGGTTAAGTAATAGAGTTAATTAGATGAGAAAAAAACTAATTATAATCTATATGTTGATTGCTTACAAAATAAAATAAGATCAAACTTAGCATTGTATTACCATGTACAATACAAAATTTGAATCAATAACAATCAGACTTTTTTCACAATTTTTTTCTGAATTTTGATGATTAATCTAATTTACATTTAATAGCATTCTAGTTGAACATCTAAATATTTATCTGTACCACCACCATTGCAATTCAGTTAATACTTAGAGAAAAAGGAATATCAGAATTGATATTTACTCCATTACTCTTGAGAGTAAAAATTTTGAAATTGAAATAGCAAAAATGGAGTAATAAATTGTCTTCCTTCAAAATACAGGTTGGTAAAGTGTCTTATTTTACAATTAGATTAATCACCATCATCAGGCCTGAACCATTTCGCAGTAAAAAGTTGAAGAAGTTGAATTTACACTTGTATGTCCACAATTTAACATTGATAAGCGGTTAATGCGAATGATGAAACGATTTCTTCAATAATTAGCATTCGTATGCAATCATAGTTTTACGTGAAGCTAACAAAATGAAGTTAATATGAAACGGTGAGGTTCTTTTCTTTGGCTTTATCTTAATCTTTGGTTGGTCCTTAGTATCACAACCGTTTCATTTGAATTGTATTGAAAATTAGGTTAACAGCTTTTTTAACATCTTTACTGGGCATCACTGGTTTAGTATGAATATCAATCAAACTAGAGTTACTTTCAGTTAAGTCATCTCAAGATATCACCAATGATTGAGTTTTCTCCATAAACCTTGATCATTTGTTCCAAATGTTGTCTCAAAAAAATTGTAACATTCATTTATCCACAGATTATCTATTTGGATATCGAAACTTTTCCTTAATTAATCGTCACCAGTGAGTCAATTGAAATACCATCTTCCTTCCAGTAAAAGATTCCAGTGAAAAAAAAGATTTGAGCTGATTGATCCCATTTGCTGATTTGATGATTTGTTAAAAAGTTATATTAGAATTTAAATGAATGCATGATGATTTGGTTCATTGTTGGGCGATACCATTGTAAATTTAGGTTCAATTCAAATAACGTTGCCAGACCAAAGTTCAATAAATTGAGTTACCCAACAGGAGAAAAAATCAAGTGTTGTATATATTCTGCAACTTCAATAAACGTACGATTGAATTTTGAATAAAATATCACGAAATTAAGAGTTCTTCAGCCGATAAGAGGAATGAAAACCAAAAAACATCGAATCAGGAAAAAAACCAAATCTCTATCAGCCAGACCAATGGAGCTTTTTTTGGATTATATTTTGATTGTTACCAAACTTTGAGAGAACACAATACATTCCATAATGAAGTTTCTTGACTTGGAGTTCCTATTAATACATTGTAGTCTGAAAATTAACCAGAAGTAAGCAGCAAGTTGAAGATGAAGATGATGATCATGTAAAATGATTAAGGAGAAGCGCAAAGCCAAACATTGTATGGTTGAGTCTTTGTCCTCAAGTCTTGCCAAAATCCAAAATCGCTTGTGTCAGTTAACAGATAGATACGGATGTAAGATGAAACTGTCTTGTTACAATGTACAAACAAAATTTGGTTAATTGAATGAAGTAAGCGACAATTAACAAGTTAAGAGTTGAACAAAAAATGTGTGAATGGGTAAAGGTAGGGAAAACTTAAGAAAAACAGCTGATTGAGAGTAAAATTAAAGAAACAAATATTTTGAAAAAGATATAATTATAATTGTAATAGCAATAATAGCAATAATAGTAATGTATTAAAAAAGTTACCTTAAATTATACAAACAATGAGAAAGACGAAAATTAGAACAAAGATTAACAAAAGAAAAGATTGTAAAGCTTATGTGTAGGTCATTGAGTGTTAAGAGATGCAAGTAACTTCTAGACAAAGAGTAATTTTTTAAGTGTAGTGAGGTCATGCGAAATTTAGAAAAATGATTTATCAATTATTACTCAAGTAACTATCTGATCAACTAAGTGTTAAGAGCTATCGATCAAAGAGAAGCTAAAGATTTAATAATATAGTTAGATAAATCATTTTTGCAGGGCAAGATGTCTGATAATGATAATGATAATGTTTTAACAGATCAAATTTAGCGCTTTTTTATACAATTGGATAAAGAGTGTAATTTTGTACTTTGTACATGGCCCATAGAAACATTGTTTTGTTTTTTGTAATTGAGTTGATTTTGATTGAATCTCATTGTTGTATTTAAATGAGAAGTAATGTAAATTAATTTAAAAATTAACATTAACATTAATTCTCTTGTAGATATTACTTTGTCAAGTCGAGTGCACAAAAATAGATACAAAACTGTCTCTAATTTTTTTCCGTATCTCAATGGACAAAAGCTGTACAAAAAAAGATTTACAGAGAGACATAGATATTTATCTTCATCTTTAACAACATCATCATTCACGTCTCCATTTGTCTATTTCCCTCTTCATCATCCAGAACGACAAGAAGTTAAGCCAAGTTTCAAATTTCTCATTCATTTTTTTCTTCTTTGTGTTTACAGCAGGAAACTCTGATTCTTTGTGTGATTTGTGTTTCAAGATGGCAAGTGACGGACTCGACTGATTATCATTATCATTATTTTAACCATTTTTGTCTGATATTAAAGGGTAAAAGTTGAAAAGATCAAGAGAGGAATAAGAGAATAAGCTGAAATGTTTTCGAACCATGCTCTACATGCACTTGATGCAAGTATTTCAAGATTTAGAAATGACACAATAATAGATTTCAATATAGATTGAAGGTGGATTAATCAGTTAATCATAGTTTGTACTTATGATTATGAGAGAGAGAGAGAGAGAAAGAGGTAAATAGTGATGAAGTTATGCTTTAGGAAATAAGATTGGCTACCAATACAATGACATCATATTGAATAGCGAGATTCAATTGATTCGGTGGGATTGCAATATTGCAATAACATTTAGTGACTAGTTGAGATGATCATTGATAATACTACTAAGCTGCCTTTGATTTAAGTTAATAAGATAGCGTGATCACATTCAGAGACAAAATTAGGTAAAATAAGACTGGATGGTGAAGGATTTGATGATAATCACTTGTTCAGCTTTTATTTGTTTTTAATGTTATTTTCTTCGTCTGATTACTTATTATAGCAAAAATGCTTCGATTCATTGACTGAACAATGGTTAGAAATGCAAATTTTGACTAAGATATTAAACCAACAGCTGATTTTCACCTAAACAAGTGGTTATCAAGCGGTAAATGGCTCTAACAAGTGAAATTTAACAAAAAGGCGGTGAAAGGGTTTGTTGGATGCATGAAAGTATGACGATCATAGATTTCACATGTAATAATGATCTCCCGATGTTTACATTGTTGATTTTAACAGTGGATTAAAACAAAAGATAAGCTCTTGCAAACTCATTTGAAGCTATTTCGCTTTCAAGGAATTCAAATTGAATAATCCTGGTGGGATGCCAGAGAAGAAGAGAAACGTTGATGATTACAAAAATTAAAAGCAGTCCTAATTGCCAGTTGTCCGGGAAAAAGATGAAGAATCATAAGAAGAGATGATAATGATGAAGAAGAAGGGAACAGACAGAATCTTCAATTGGCAATGTTGGTAAGTTGATGAAAGTGAATGGTGTTTGCGTTGAGCTGCATGTTTATATAGATTGTATATTTATATTTATATATACATCGAGTGAGATTCGTGTTGAATGTGCTTTAGCTAGCAAACAGCTAGAAGCTAAACAAGATGATGATGATGATGATGATGATGACGATGAAGGAAAATAGAAAAAGAAGAAAACGAAGTTAATTCATGAAGATAACTGAGTGTGCTTTCATGGAAACAAGTCGACAAAAATTCAAACTTAAATCGCAAAGGTTACGAAACAACAGCAGTTTAACACTGGAGCATGATTGAATGATGGAGGACATGTGAAGATAACATTTAAAGTGGGTTTCATTTGTACATCACGAGGTTTCTTGTCGAAGCAGATCCATTGGACTCGAGTTTCATTTTAAGAAACCAGAGAAAGTTGATAAAGGTTGTGAATAACAGCAATGAAGGGTTGAATAACAAGTGAAAAGCTTTAAAGATATAACTTAGAGTCTTTCTAGGATTTGTTTATCAGCTGTGCTTATATATATGTGTGTTGTATTTATATACATAAACGCATTTTGAATAGGAGTGATACTGAAGAGTCAGGTTAACGTTTTTTTTTTGATTTTGGGTTAGTTTAAGTTAATTCCGATTCACCAAAATTTTCAAGAATAGTCATCATTTTTCTTTCATTGATAAATCCTTTCTTTATGTAGAGATAAACTGAATTGGTGAGTCTCTCACTTTTTGATTCTGAATCGCATTCTTTAGGTGATTTGTTTATGTTTGAATAAGTCTGAGATGAAGATGATAAATGACAAAGATCTTGTTGGCTTGTTTTACTTGGCTCTCTCCATATAATCGTATAGACACCGGTGAAGGACAATTTTGAATAAAGTTAAATTGCTAATAGTCAATGTCTCTTATAAACCGCATAAAGGTTTCATCTGCAAATTCGAGTAAGAATGCCAAAAGAATCAATTGCATCCGATCCAATGGAATGACCAGGAAAATTTAATTTGGTTGAAGTGGTAAAATTTCGTTCATTCATTTAGTATCCAATGATCCAAGTTAAGGTGCAATCCAAATTGAAAAGGAAAATAAACAAAAGATTAGGTTAGAAATTGCTAACTAATTTAGTTAAATATAATTTACTCACTTTGTTGGTATGCTTTTCCATAAAAAAGGTAGTTGGGCATTTTGAATACTGTAGAAAGGATGATGATTATGAAGAAAAGAGAAGAAAAATGGGAACAATTGAGATCCAGTCATTTTTAATCAGATTAATAATCGTGATAATAAGGTTATTTGGTTGTTGTCAAACAATAAATGGCTAAATTATTTTATGAGTTTGATTAACTGATTTTGATCTACAAGTACGCGTTATAAGTTAACGAATTTGCTCAAAGAGCAATGAAGACTAATAAAGAACAGGTTGAATAATGAAAGGTTAAAATGTTTGCTGAGTTTTGAAAAACAGAATCATATTCTGATCAATTGAATATCAAAGAAACGAGTATTGATTGTAAGCAATAAATTAACAATAAAATGTATTGGTGAAGGATAACAGTTTAACAGGTTGAAATGAGACAATTTGTTTTTTCACGATAGCTATTAAACTCACGTTAATGTGGAAAGAATGGTTTGAGGTAAAATAAAATTCATTGTTGTTTTCAAATTTACTTGACCATCGAGTGGACAAAAACAATAGTTACATATGGAAGGGTAGAACAGAAAATTATTGGAAGGAGAGAGAAGAGAAAGATATTTCTGATGGTAATATATTAATGAAACGAAAATTTATTTAATATGGATTTGATCCGATTGATAGAAGAAAACATGCAAATGTTCAGCTAAAGGATATAAAAGGAGTTGAAGAACGAGAGGATTCAGAGTCAAGGAGTAAAATAAAAGGAAACAAAGTGATGAATTTGTATTCATATATATATTTATATATATACTGGAAAATGGCTACTGAGTAAAGGTGAGAATATAAAGCTAAGAGTATGAGTGAGAAACAATTTTAAAAGATAGATGATGATGAAGATGGGATAGATGAGGAATGAGGGAGGTGGGGAGAGAGAAGATCAAGGGTATAAAGGTGTGTAACAGTAAGGGATATGAATATGTTTTTAAATGCATTTGTAGATAAATTACAATATTTGGTTTATACTGGGTAAGCAAGGAATCAATGTTGACTGAAAGTCATCTTCATCTTATCCTCATTTTAGGTGGTTAATGAGCGTATTCATCATATTTTGACATATTTGATAATCTAATCAATAACGTTGATTTGATATCAATTTGTAACTGAGATGAACAAAAGAGGTAAAATAATTTGTGACTCGGTTTTTTTTGAATAAGTCAAAAACTCAATGAGATTTCACATTGAGTTGTAAACATATGGAGAAATAGGAAGACAAGATGATGAACATGGATAATGATGGCAAGGGATTAAAAAAGGAAATAGGAATATCAACCTAAATTTTCAGTGTATGTTCCTAAAATGCACATTAAATTTTTTGATTTAAAAGGAAAGAGACAAATTAAAAGATAATTGTGGAACTATAACAATAGAAAGGTGGGTTGAAATTTTGATAAATCAAAAAAAAACGTTTTAAGATCTGATATAAATAATTAAAATCCTAATAAGGTGCAAATTTTCGATCAGCTTTGGTCTCAATACCGGGTGTCGTTGTCATCCCTTGAGTTCCAGCTTTTAATTTCAAAGGTTTAATATGAGATGTTTGACTTGAGAAGTTGAGGTCATAAAGGTTTGCAGCATTGGGGGTAACAGCCAAAGCCAGTGGAGATGGTCCCACCAGTTGAGTTAGGGGATATGCCATTGGATTTGTGGTAAGGGTTGACGCTGCGTTTGATGTCGGGTTCATTTGATTTGAGGATGGATCTAGGGTCAGGTTTTGATGCAATTCCATGCTGTTGTTGAAACAGAATGACAGAAATAGAAAGGAGTAGAGGGGCAGAGGGGAGAGGAAAGGGTAAATCGGAAAAAAGATAGATGATTGCATCAAAAAGAAACAGATAGAAAGAGAGGGGCGAGGGAGAAATAAAGAGATAGAAAGAAAAAAGGGAGGAGGAAAAAGGGAGGAAGAAAAAAAGGAAAAGAACCAGAGAAGAAAGGGATGAGAAGATGGAAGCACAGAGTGAAATGAAATGAACAATGATGACTATGCTGATGAAATGATGGCAATAAAAGAAGGAAGAGTAATCTAAGAAAAGTTGGACCCCTAACAATTTTCGGATGAATCTGAAGATTTTTTGAATACAGATCCAGGTTAGGATGAAAAGAGAGAAAGGGGTTAATAAGAATACTCGACAAACTTCAACAATGTTTGGGAGAAAAGGGTTAGAATAAATATGTAACTAACAGAAAGAGAAAGACCGAATATTTCAAGTAACAACTTCTTAAGCTAATTAAAACGATTTAAATTAGAGTATCACAGGAAGGTTTCAAATTCAACAACTTTATTTGTATAAGAAATGCTCACCTGGAATTAATGAGGTATTGGGCCAAATTGATTGATTCTGGTGTACCTGTGATGCTAACTGTTCTTTCCTTAGAACCTTCTTCTGAATTGGAAATTTTAATCGAAGCTCCAGAAAGCTGTCTAATCTCGTTAATCTTAGCCCCTCCTTTTCCGATAATACATCCGATTAGATCATTGGGGATTGCCATCTCAGTAGTTGCTGCACCAGTAGTAGCTAAAGTAGTGGCTGCAACTGGTCTAATTGAGCTGGTTGCTGTTAATGTTGCCAACGCTTGTGGATTAACGGTACCAACATTGTGACCTGGTAACAGAGGTGCATGTTGTAGCGCCAACTGATGTAATTTAGTAAGATCAGGGTGAGGTATTGCGTACTGGCCTTGTAAGGTATAAGCTTGACCGCCGGCAAATATAACAGGAGGCATTGCCGGCTTAGGACGGTAAGGAATTGTTGCTCCTTTAGCCGGTGATTCCATCAAAACACAACAAATCTGATAGATACATTTAGTTATTGAGTCAGAATTTCCCGAAATGGTAACTGCCCTTTCGGTTGAGTTAGGCAACATTTCACTGGCTACTTGAATAGTTGCTCCAGTTATTTCTCGAATTTCTTTAATTTTAGCACCACCTTTACCAATAAGTGAGCCACATTGACTAGCAGGGACTATTAAACGTAATGTGACCGGGTTGGTTCCACTTTGACCATCTTTCCATGGTTCATGAATCTCTTCAAATTTTCTACCAATCAATGAGAATGCTTTTAAAATACTCTCGGTTGATCCGGTTACAGTAACAATTCTTTCTGGACAGGAACCATCTGATATGTTGATTTTGGCACCACTTTCCTCACGAAATTTTTTAATATTATCACCTTTTTTACCAATAATACTACCAACCTCCTTACCTTGCATTATTAAACGAATAGTAAGGGTAACAGAAGGTCCATCTAGAGGTTTGTTAGAATCAACGATTGTAGTTGCCATTTCTTTTATATATGTGAAAAAGTCAATTTATATCTAGTATAGAATAAAAATAAACAAAAAAAATTAACGAGAAATCAACAACAAAAAATACCGAAATTGAAAGGTAAATAGAAGCATACTTATTACACGAAAGTAGTTTCCAATCTCACGGAGATTAATTGTTTATAAATTTTAAAGCTGTTTATAATCAATTTAAATTAACTAATTTCACTTCCAGCCAAAATACTTCTCAGCAAAAAATGAAGCAAAGCAGCAGAAAGAGCAGTAAGAGCAGTAGGTGGACTTGTAAGATAAAGACTTGATTTAAAAGAATGAAAGGAAACAGGCTGTAGAAATACAGGGTGTAGCGAAAGTTCGTGCAGGAGGCAAAAACACATTTCCACCTGCGTAGAAACCAATTTTGGTTTGTTTTGATTTCTCTGAGAAAATGATTTTCTCGATGTTTTGTCAATGTTGATCCCTCCTACTTACACGAACTTTCGCTACACCCTGTAGGTTATACCGATGGTTTGCTATTTATCGAGCGATATTTTTTCTTATCAATCATTCATAGAAGTGAATCATTTCAAATGCTTAATAAAATATCTTAATTCTGTACTAATATGAATATTACTATCTCTTGTGTATTTACTAATAGCCAATCTTACATTAACATCATTAACTGTTGAAATGTACAATTGGTTTGTAATCCAAATATAATTTTGAAATACAATTGGAATGTTCAGAAAAGTTGTTGCCGAATGTTTTACCTTTGATTAATTGACAACGAAAATTAAGACCAATTAATTGCTGGGTCTTACATTTTAGAAAGATTGTTATTAATGAAAGTGTATCAAGATTCAATCATCAATTTCAACTTTATCGAGCTTTCGATTTTTTTTTAAAAAAAGTTGACAGACAAAAAAGGTTATAGTTTAAGGAGTGAATAATGTGTGTGTATGTGTGTGTTCAGGCTTAATAAGGAGCAAATTTTCGATCAGCTTTGGTCTCAATACCGGGTGTCGTTGTCATCCCTTGAGTTCCAGCTTTTAATTTCAAAGGTTTAATACGAGATGTTTGACTTGAGAAGTTGAGGTCATAAAGGTTTGCAGCATTGGGGGTAACAGCCAAAGCCAGTGGAGATGGTCCCACCAGTTGAGTTAGGGGATATGCCATTGGATTTGTGGTAAGGGTTGACGCTGCGGTTGATGTCGGGTTCATTTGATTTGAGGATGGATCTAGGGTCAGGTTTTGATGCAATTCCATGCTGTTGTTGAAAACAGAATGACAGAAATAGAAAGGAGTAGATGGGGAGAGGGGTGAGGAAAGGGTAAATCGGAAAAAAGATAGATGATTGCATCAAAAGAACAGATAGAGAGGGGGGTGAGGGAGAAATAAAGAGATAGAAAGAAAAGAGAAGAAAAAAGGAAAAGAACCAGAGAAGAAAGGGATGAGAAGATAGAAGCACAGAGATGAAAAGAAATAGACAATGATGACTATGCTGATGAAGTGATGGCGATAAAAGAAGGAAGAGTAATTCAAGAAAAGTTGGACCTCTAACAATTTTTGGATGAATCTGAAGATTTTTTGAATACAGATCCAGGTTAGGATGAAAAGAGAGAAAGGGGTTAATAAGAGTACTCGACAAACTCCAACAATGTTTGGGAGAAAAGATAAGGGTAAGAGTAAATATGTAACTGACAGAAAGAGAAAGACCGAATATTTCAAGTAACAACTTCTTAAGCTAATTAAAACAATTTAAATTAGAGTATCACAGGAAGTTTTCAAATTCAACAACTTTATTTGTATAAGAAATACTCACCTGGAATTAATGAGGTATTGGGCCAAATTGATTGATTCTGGTGTACCTGTGATGCTAACTGTTCTTTCCTTAGAACCTTCTTCTGAATTTGAAATTTTAATCGAAGCTCCAGAAAGCTGTCTAATCTCATTGATTTTCGCCCCTCCTTTACCAATTATACAACCGATTAAATGATTTGGTATAGCCATTTCAGTAGTTGCTGTAACAGGTCGAAGTGAACTTTGAGCTGTTAAAGTGGCAAGAGCCTGTGGATTCATAGCACCAACATTGTGTCCGGGTATAAGAGGACCATGCTGAAGTGCATCTTGATGTAATTCAGTCAGATCTGGGTGAGGCATTGTATATTGACCTTGTAAAGTGTATGCTTGACCACCAGCGAAGAAGACCTGTGCCATTGCTGGTTTGGGTCGATAAGGTATTGTTGCACCTTTCGCAGGTGATTCCATCAAAACACAACAAATCTGATAGATACATTTAGTTATCGAATCAGAGCTTCCAGAGATGGTAACTGTCCTCTCAGTTGAGTTAGGTAACATTTCACTAGCTACTTGAATACTAGCTCCAGTTATTTCTCGAATTTCTTTTATTTTAGAACCTCCTTTTCCAATGAGCGAGCCGCATTGACAAGCAGGTACTATTAAACGTAATGTGACTGAGTTAGTTCCACTTTGACCGTCTTTCCATGGTTCATGAATCTCTTCAAATTTTCTACCAATCAATGAGAATGCTTTTAAAATACTCTCGGTTGATCCGGTTACAGTAACAATTCTTTCTGGACAGGAACCATCTGATATGTTGATTTTGGCACCACTTTCCTCACGAAATTTTTTAATATTATCACCTTTTTTACCAATAATACTACCAACCTCCTTACCTTGCATTATTAAACGAATAGTAAGGGTAACAGAAGGTCCATCTAGAGGTTTAGAATCAACGATTGTAGTTGCCATTTCTTTTGTATTTGTGAAAAAGTCAATTTATATCTAGTATAGAATAAAAATAAACAACAAAAATTAACGAGAAATCAACAACAAAAAAACCAAAATTGAAATGTAAATAGAAGCATACTTATTACACGAAAGTAGTTTCCAATCTCACGGAGATTAATTGTTGTTAAATTTTAAAGTTGTTTATAATCAATTTAAATTAACTAATTTCACTTCAAGCCAAAATACTTCTCAGCAAAAAATGAAGCAAAGCAGCAGAAAGAGCAGAAAGACAAGTAAGAGCAGTAGGTGGACTTGAAAGATAAAGACTTGATTTAAAAGAAAGGAAACAGGCTGTAGAAATAGGCTATACCGATGGTTTGCTATTTATAGAGCGATGTTTTCCTTATCAACCATTCTAAAAGTGAATCTGATTCACTGAATCATTGCAACTGATTAATAAAATATGTACTTATGTAAAATTCCTTCCTAATATCAAATCAATGAATATTAATATCTATTGTGTATTTGCTTACAGTCTATCTTGCGTTAATATCATTAACTGTTCATAAACAATTGTTGTTATCCAGGAATGTTTTGTAAAGTTTTTGCGTTTTCACCTTTGATTAATTGACAACGAAAATTAAGACCAATTCATTGCTGGGTCTTACATTTTAGAAAGATTTTTATTTTGAAATTGTAACAGATTCTATCGGTTCTAACAACATTTCCGTATCAAATCCATCAAAAATTACAGTGCCTACCTTTTTAAGAATGGATCAGTTTACTCACATCTCTGTAAAAAATAGTAAAAAATCACAGACGTTAATTGCTGAACGTTTTCTCTAGAATTTAATAAAAATAAATAGATGATTTTTTACAGGCATGCTTCACCTCATAAATATCTCTTCAAATTGGATATTTAGTTAAAAATGTGCAACTCTTATACATAAGCGTATTTTATCATTTAGTATTATCATTTAACATTACAAATAACGAAAATCTGAGAAAATTTACGATTACGGATTATTTTTCATGAATCCTTATGCTGCTTTTTTCTGATGAGATTTGAATGTTTATCGAGAGTGTATCAGGATTTGAGTGATTCAATGAAATTACTTAAATCATATTCATCTTCATATTGATTCGTGTCCCATAATTCAGGTAAATTTTCTAGAACTGATTTAACACCCGAACCCTTAGCATTTCCTGGTCCTTCTTTGTTGTCTGGTCCGTTTTTATTGTCCAAGCAGAATAAGTCAAGTAACTGATCTGTGCCCATTGTTTGCAATTGAGAATTATCTGAACTGATCACAGTATTAGCAATAGTCATCTTGAACTTTTGTAAGCCCATTATTTTTTCTTCTAGTGTTCCTTTAGTGATTAGTCTGAATTTGAGAAATAAAATTTCAGTTAAATTGAAATAGTCAGGTAATGTGTAATGATCGATATATAAAATAATAAGTTACCTGTAAACATTAACAACTTTTTTCTGGCCAATACGATGAGCTCGATCCATCGCTTGAAGATCTTTCATAGGATTCCAATCATGCTCCACAAAAATAACCGTATCGGCTCCAGTTAAATTAAGACCAAGACCACCAACCTAATGAAAAAAGGTGAAAAAGATAAGGTTATAATAATTGGTAAATTAATATAAACAAAATAATGACTTTACCTGAGTAGTTAAAAGTAATACATCAATTGATGGATCGTTATTGAATTGGAAAACAACTGATTGACGAGAGCCTGGAGGAATACTTCCATCCAGACGTAAGTAGCTGACTGAAGGCATATTGGTTTTGAGTAAATCGTTTTCAACAATATCAAGCATCCCCTTGAGCTGACAAAATATCAATGCTCTGTGTTGGTTAACGACTGGTTGACTTCCTCCCATGAGAGTGGATGAACTTGAACAGCCAATACCACAATCAAGAAGCAATTGTTTCAATGCACACAATTTAGCCGCATGACTAATATCGTTGAGAGATGTACTTTGATCTTTGAGGCGAGAAATAATTGAATCATATTGAGGATGGTGAGGGGTGAGAACGAGCTTAGGATGATTACAAACTTTACGAAGATATTGAAGTGCTTGAAAGATGTGAGATGAGTTAGCTTGTGATCCAGTGGAGTCTACAGATTTCAAACTTGCTGTTCCTCCTTCAAGTTTATGAACTGAACTTTCCAGGCTTGCACGAGCTCTGCTCTTGGCGAAATCTTCGTACAATTGTGATTGGAGAGTTGATAGTTCACAATAATAATCTTGCATAATCTTGGGAGGCAAGTCTTTAAGGACATCTTCTTTCATACGACGAAGGATAAAAGGTAAAGATTGACGATGAAGCGATTCCATGGCCAAAACACCAGACTCTTGTTCTTTTGATGATGACTTGGCATCCCTACTTTGGAGAATAGGTTTGGAATAACGAATCGCAAATTGCCTTTCAGTCCCCAAGAAACCAGGTATAAGAAAGTCAAATAGAGACCACAATTCGAGAACATTATTTTGTATTGGTGTTCCAGTCAATATGAGACGATGATTAGTATTAAGTGATTTTATGGCTTTTGATAATTTTGTTTTACCATTCTTAATAATGTGACCTTCATCGAGAATGCAATAGTTCCAAGATATTGATGAGAAGAAGTCAATATCATTGCGTACAATATCATAAGATGCTATAACTAGATTATAACTTTTCCGATTACTTTGATTTTTTAATTTATTTCGTAATTTGGCTCTTTCAATAGGTGGTCCCGCGTAATTTAATGGATGAAGATATGTTGAGTCGACAAATTTTTCAACTTCATAAACCCAATGACCCGTTAAAGTGGGAGGACAAATTACTATGGAAGGTAAAGGCTTTGAATCAGGGGCCTTTGTCTTTTTATATTTTTCAGATCTCATGTAATGATCAGAAGCTAATATACAAATAGACATGAGAGTTTTACCTAAACCCATCTCATCACAAAGGATTCCATGTAACTTGTATCGATTAAGGAATGACAGCCAATTGACACCTTCTTGTTGATATGAACGAAGTTCAGCATTAACAGGGACAGGAATTTTAAAATTTTCAAGTTTCTTGGGATTCATAAGCTGTTCAAGAAAATGCTGCTCATGATTCTTTTTCTCCAATAATTCAGATTTGATAGGCACCTTGTTACTTTTACTATCATCCAGTGGCATTAATTGAATTAACTGAGCAAAACAATGAGTAGCTAGAAGTCGAACTTGTTCATTTGTATCACTCATTCGACCCAGCATAGGAATTATCAGAAGAACAATAAATGGAACGATAGAAATACCAAGCTTATCAACAACACAGTAAATTGCTTCAACCGCTCCTTGACGCCGTAGATCTGAGTCACTAGATCCCAGCATATCAAGTACCAATCCGAGAACTTTATCCATTGTTTCTGGAGTTATGACTGTGCTGAGAACACCAATACAACGAGCGGCCAGGTGACGGACAGCATAAAAATAATTTTCCAAACAAGAACATAATTTTGGTAAAAGCTGACGTAAATGAGGATGAAGATTTAAATGTAGATATGGAGCAATTACTTCTAAAACTTGAAGACATTGTATTAATTCTTGAGCCTTATTCACATCTACTTTGTCATTAGCTTCACTAACTAAGTTTTGAAAATTAGTAATATAAGCCCACATTTGAGGTAGCCGTTCAGGTAATTGATCACCAAAATGCGCAACAATTTCAGTAAGGGCAAATGATGCTCCTCGACGGATAAGTTCATTAAATTTATCATTATCATCAGGTATATTAGTAGAGCTTGTTTCCTCGTCAGGATTCTCGGTGCTTTTTTTGAATGAGTTGGATGAGTTTAACCGTTTAAGATTATATCTTTCCGCTTGTTTACACATATTAATCAATGTGAGTATGCCATTGGATAAATCAGGAGTACCTGGAGTTGATGGAGTTGATGGTGAACATGAGCCACTATTACTGGTTGCATTATTATTGATGGTTGATGATAAATTACTCAAAACAGGATTAGACAGATTGGGAGTAAAATTTGGATCAGAACAAAGAAAAGTAACTAAATTTTTGATTATTTTGTTGACCGGAGATGAATTGTCTGGTTTATCTTGAGATAAGCAAAGGTCTAATAAAAAAGTTAGATGGTTAGCTGATGCTCTCTGTAATTGTTCATTGCTCTCTCTTTTGATGGAATCCATTAAGGGGCGAACAACTGGATTCAATTTGTCGGGTAAAATCTTCCATGAAATTATACAACTCGAGAGTGCTGAAGTAACCATCATAGAAAGGGAATTTTGATAACGAGTAAGCTCTTCAATAGAAGAAGCGATTGCTTTTCGTCGTTCTTCCATTGATTCAAGAGTAGATGCTTTCACTTTAACTTTGGACGATTCAATAGATGATTGGTAAACAGTCGAAACTAGATCTGAAAGCTGTTGAATTGTCAAAATGTTTCCTGGTTTATAGATTTCATCGTCAATGGTGAGTTTATTAAACTTAATGGTGCTTATAAAGTCTCGGGCATCATGTTGAAGTCGGTTAAACGAAAGAGCAATTTCATCATAATAAACTGTTTCTTTTAAACATTCTAAACATTTATCTAGCAAACAACGAGGTAAACTATTTTCGGAAACTGTTGGACCATGGGCACAAGACCATTCTTTGATAATCCAAGCAACACATGTTCTTTGGATAGCAGATTTTGAGTTAAGATGGAAAAGAAGTAAATTTGTAAAACATTCGGAGGGGCTTGGAGATTTAGATGCTACTACACGATAAACGTATTCAGCCAGAAGTCCTATAAACTTGGCGGCAGTTAGACGAGCACGGATAACGAATCTTTCTCGTTTAAGAGGAGTATCATATAAGGACTCTGCACCACCCAAGTACTGTTTCTCAGGCTCATTGAGTCCATTATCGGAATATTTGACTTTTTGGTTTGAATCGCCGTGAAATGCTCGTCTTCTAGGGACAAACCAAACTGGACTCACTTTAGAATCAATGGCATTTTTAGCTGGATGCATCATTAAACAAATCCATCCAGATAAATGTGGAGTAGAAGCTGCTAATATATCGTTAAGACTGCATGTTTTGATGAACTTAGACCAACAATCAAATAAAAGATCGAGGATTTCATTGTTACTTTCAGTTAAACATCTTTGATATAGTAGACGAAGAGATTCTGAGATAATTTCAACATCAGCCCAGGCCAAATCAGCTGCTATCAATACCAAAAGTGATTCTATGACAGATTTACGAACAGAAGGAAGATTGTGCCCAAGAAATGGCCATAGACGAGGTACCAATTCACGTAGTCTTTTCTGATCATTATGATGATATTTGATTAAAAGCGAAGATAAAAGTTTGAGAATATCACTTGTAGATGAGGTTAGATCATCAATTTCCAGAAGAGCATCCCATAGAAAATCAATGATTATGGGAACTTTGTCAGGTAAAGTTTCTATTAAGGAGTCACGAACTGGTACCAAAGCGGCAGCAGCAACAGCAGAAACGTCATCTTCATTATCCTTCAGACAGTTGAAAATAGAATCAAAAACTTTTGGTAGTAATTCGAAAGTTAAATCGGAGCGAATGGCTAGTAAGTATTTAAGTCCTAAAAGACCGCCATGACGAGTCTCCCATTCCGGTCTAACAAGTAATTGGAGAAGAATTTTAACAGTAGAGAAAACATTATCTTTAGACATAATGTTGAAAATTGATCCTAACGTTTGGGCAGCAGTTTCACGGACTGGAGCAACGACTTGGTCGGACACAAAGTCACCAAATTTATCCAAAGCAAGAACACAAATCAATCGAAGAGCTAAATCTTCGAGCCACAATTGATTAAGTGCATCCATTTGACTTTTAGGAGCATTCAACGGTCTTCCACCACAAACACCATGAACTTTAATTATTTCTCGCAGAGCTGTTGCTGCTCCATGACGGACTTCCCAGCTTGCATTGAAAAGATCACTCATTAGTTCATCACAGAAAGATTGCAAAGGCCATTCTTTGAGATTATTCAAATCAATCACTTTAGATTCATTTTGGAGTTCATTATCCTTTTTATCAGATTCCAATTTAATCTTTTTAACAGAAAATTTACACACTGCAGTACTATCAATATTTTTATCACCTTCCTCCAGTTCAATCGATCCACGATCGTCAGCTGCTTTTCTCTTGTTTAGATTCAACAGTTCACTAATTTCCACTTTTTTTGAGTTAAGGTTACCAATTTTCTTGTCATTATTTTCACTATGGTCATTATTTGCTCCAACGTTAGAGTCAGTATTTTCCATTTTAACATCCTGTATTTGAGAGAGATCCTCATTGGAAACAAGATCATCGGATTGGATTCCTAAATTTAACTTTTGACTTATATCTAGACCTAATTTCTTATTCAACAATTGTCTCTGAGCAGACAATTTTTCTCTCAAATTATCAGCTGAAAGATTATCACAATTGATCAAATTTAAGTCATATTCAGTTCCTTCAGAAGCAAGTAGATTACGGCCACATTCGATCACCTTATTTATATCAAAAACATCTAATTTCATCCGGCCTTCTCCACCAAAACAGTCGAGAGAGGTATTATCAATTGGCTCATCATTTGTACCATTTGGTAGCCACTTTGGTATTTGCTTGATTATCGCTTCAATAGCAAGGCTTGCAGCTATTCTGGTCTCCCAGCTAGAGCTGTGAAGATAGCCTCGAACTTTGGCTAATAAATTATTTAACTCATGTGGATGTAGACGTTGAACTTCGCCTAATTGTTGAGCCGCAGCCTTCCGGGTAACACTACTGGTTCCTTGGTCAAGCAACAGGAACAGTCTATCCAGTCGCGATTTCATTGTTTCAGTCTATCTGACAATGAAAACACCTAGAAGCAATAATCTTTAAGAAACAGCATCAACACCACACAAGATCAATTGGTACCTTTACATATGTTGAGGAGAATGGCAGAAAAGGGAGAAAAAGAGATTGAAATTCATGTATGAAGCATTTTAACTCAATTTGAGGTCTTAGAAAACATTCAACAAGGAGGGGTAAAAAGTATAAGTGTATGAATTGAATTGAAAAGGATATGAAGATTTTTAAATGGGAAAAGATGGGTCTACGTTTTAGGAGAAGAACTTTGCCATGGTTTACCTTGTTGATTGTGACAAGGTTTTCACACTTTTTTGCGTTTTTTAAACTGTCAAAAACACTTGATTAAATTGATTTAATTAAGATCCTACCCCCAGAGATGTCTCCTCCTTGCAAATGTTTTTCATTAGAATGAGATTCATTTTACTAATCACACTGATACCTAAAAGAAAAAACTCTTTTTTTCCAGCTCTTTATCACAATTCATTTCTTCAGAACCCACACGAGATTACTTTTGTTTTGACTGACACTCACCGATTTAATCCTAATGATGAGGTTCACAGCTTTATTCCAATTTATTGATCACTAATAACAATTACTTTTTTAAAAAACAAAACAAAATACAAAACAGTTTTTAACTCAAGTGAACTTTTAAAGCTCCATCTGGTAATATAGGCTGTAAAAGAGTTTGTCGCCCAGATGATATATAATATTGTGTGAAACCATTCTATATTCAGCGCTCGACTATGTTGGTAATCAGCCAAATTAAGAATTTAAATAATTTGTTTTGTGTATTTCAGGTGTTTAACTGACCGACCAATGTTGTCGATTAAATCTGAATTAGCTTAGAAAAGCATCGACATGATGAACAAAAGAGTTATCTTCTGTCCTATGTTATCATTGATCATACTGGTTAGCAGTCATTCATTGTCGCCAGGCCCCAGAAAATCATCATGCGATCATGTTCTTTGTTATCATGGTACCTGTCAAGACGGCCGCTGTCAGTGTGATAGAGGGTGGCAAGGTTCTGCTTGTCATATGTGTACGGGTAGGACAATTTTGAAAGAAACATCTGGTGAGATAACGGACGGTAATGACAACTATGCTACTGATCTTCAATGTACATGGTTAATTGATCCAGGTAAACCAAATACCACAATTCGTTTAAAGTTTAATGAATTCGCAACTGAATGCAGCTGGGATCATTTGTATATATTCGATGGAGATTCCATTTTTTCACCTCTCATTGGAGCTTTTAGTGGTCTTCTAATCAAAGAAGGCTATTATACTCAGGAGCTACCAGAAATCATTGCTACCTCAGGTCGAGCCTATCTTTACTTTTATTCAGACACTGCTTATAATATGAGTGGTTTCAAGATTTCTTATAGCGATAATTCTTGTCCAAACAATTGTTCTGCTAATGGTGCTTGCATCGATGGGGTGTGTACCTGTAACGGTGGTTTGGATGGACCCGCTTGTGATAAACCCATATGTCCCAACAAATGCTCTTTTCACGGTCGTTGTGAATCATCTGAACGTAGGTGTATATGTGAACCAGATTATATTGGAGATGATTGTAGTCAAAGTGCTTCACAACCTTATTGGAGTACTGTCCTTTCTACCGGAAATGTCAAAGGTAGATCACTTCACAAAGCAGTTGTTTTAAATGATTCTATGTGGGTTATTGGAGGAGAATTTTTTGACAAAACAGCAGAGTTGAGTGAATTTTTTGTTCGTTTTGATCTCAATCTGAAAAAATGGGACCCTATTGGCTATATTGAAAAAGGACCAACTCCAAGATTTGGCCATTCTGTTGCCGTTTACAATGGAGCACTCTACATGTTTGGTGGAATGATAAAAAATACAAACGTAGTTAATGAACTTTGGCGTTATGATGGAAGATCTTGGACTGTTCTTCGAAATGACGACAGTCAATATATGCGTATCCGTCATAGTCCTGAATTGCGTGGGCCCTTGAAGTAAGTAAAATTTTTAACCGTCTTCACCATTTCTTTTGTTTTATACAATTCAAAACTAGCTTATAATTTTGTTTATTTACATATGTATCTAATCATTTGATATTTATTCTTGATATAGATCAATGGGACATACTGCAAATGTTGTTGGTGATCGTATGATTGTTATTTTTGGTCATAATCCTATTTATGGATATCTTAATTCAGTCCAAGAATATGATTTTAAACGCAACAACTGGACTGTGGTCAGCACAAATGGTGCCCATGTCAAAGGAGGCTATGGTCACACTAGTGTTTATTATCCTGAAAACAATTTAATTTATGTACATGGTGGTTATCATTCATCGCTTTCTGACTCCATCCTCGTCGATCTTTTATACAGTTATCATCCTGATAAGAAAACATGGAAACTTTTAAATCCGAGCCATTCCCCAAGATATCTACATAGTGCTGTAATTATTAATGGACTTATGTATGTGTTTGGTGGTAACGGTCACAATGCTACGCACGATAATACTGGTGATAAATGTTTCTCCGTTCAATTCCTAGCTTATGACATCGAATGTGATAACTGGATTACCATGAAAGAGCCTTCAATTCAAGGATCCGGTCGTTATGGTCACAGTGCAATTACTTATAGAGATCATATGTATATATTTGCTGGTTTTAATAGTCTTATGCTCAACTCACTAATTCGATTCTCACCTGGGGAATGTTCACCCGGCCAATCTTACCGTAGTGATTGTTTCAAACACAAATACCTATCAACATTATCATATTCATCTAAAAACTCTACACGTTGTGAACCTCGTTCTAAAACCAATTTCAGCGAACTTTGTCAAAAGCAAACAAACTGTCATTCATGTCTAGAAAATTCGTATGACTGTATATGGTGTGGTGAGTCTTGTCATCACGAGAAATGTAAAAAATCTGGTTCAAAAGGTATTATTGATGTTAGCAAATGTGATAATCAAAAAAGAAAAGAATCAGATTGTGATAAACTTGATAATTGTCACTATTGTCATACCAAAGAACATTGCATTTGGGTACGAGACAGTAAATGTCGCTTCAATCGAGACCACGAAATGTTGACTAAAGCAGTTCTGGCTGTGTCTAAAACTCAATTTGAGAATGGTGAAAGCTATTCCGAAAACAAACAAAACGATGGAACAATTTCTGGAACTAGTACTCGTAATGGTGTTATTGGGTCCAGTGAGACCAGTGGAGTGATTTCAAATACTCCCAGTAGTATTTTCAATAATAATGTCACTAACTTGGTCGATGGTTCTAGCAAAGAATGGCTCAATGCGATCATAAGTGACGCATATCAACCTATCTGTGAATTACCTTGTTTTACTCGCACAACTTGTGGCAATTGTACTCGTGGACCTTGTATGTGGTGTTCATCATCACAACGGTGTATTGAATCAAATGCTTATGCTGCTGTCTTTCCTATGGGTCAATGTATGGAATGGACCATTCATCATTGGAAATGTTCAGTACTTAATTGTGAAGACATTCAAACCTGTGAAGCATGCCAGAATAATCCAAGGTGTGGATGGTGTGATGATGGATCTAATACAGGAGTTGGTAAATGCATGGAAGGATCTTACATGAGCCCTCTTATACCCGATGCATGTCCCCAAAAACGATGGCATTTTGTTTCTTGTCCAGATTGTCAGTGTAACGGTCATAGTCATTGCTCAACTGATTCAAATACCTGTGAATCATGTAAAGATTTAACGGAAGGACTTCATTGTCAAAAATGTATGGAGGGTCATTACGGTAATCCAGTTAATGGAGGAACCTGTCGTCCGTGTTTCTGTTACAATCACTCTACTCAATGTAATCCAGATTCTGGAAAATGTTATTGTACTACTAAAGGTATTATTGGTCATCATTGTGATAAATGTGATGAATCAAGTCATTATTATGGCAACCCAACAGAGCCTGGAGGTTCTTGTTACTACAATTTATCAGTTGACTTCCAATACACTTTTAATATGTCCAAACCAGAAGATTCGCATTTTCAACGAATTAATTTTATGAACGTTCCGGCCAAGCCTGATGTAGATGTCGATTTTACAATAGCATGTTCTTCCTTCGCATTAGTAAATATATCAGTGGGAGCCCCAACAATTACTTGGAAACATAGTTTATTAGAATGTGGTTCATTCAAGATTCGCTTCAGTCGAGAAGATTCTTCATTTGGTAATGACAATGCAACATTTTTCGTTAATGTATTCAGCTTCCAAACACCCATTTTACTACAAATATCCTTTTCTCAACACCGAACTCTTGATCTGTTGCAATTTTTTGTGACATTTTCTAGCTGCTTTTTAACTTTACTAATAATCGCAGCAATTATGTGGAAAATTAAACAACGTTATGACATGTATCGCCGCCGTCAACAACTGTTCCTTGAATTGGAACATCGAGCTAGTCGCCCTTTTGCCAGTATTTTAATTGAATTGAACAACGATGATTGCAATGAAGAATTATTGCAGAGAAATGGTATTAATGAAACAGGAGATTCATCAACTCAAACCATGTTACATGCCCGTTGTGATCCAACACCAATCGCCTTGGAGCCATGTAGTTCGAACAAAGCAGCAGTTCTTTCATTGATTCTTCGTCTACCATCAGGTGGATCATCAACTGTACCACCAGGGCAAACTGGTCTAGCCATTGGTTCCGCTCTGGTCTCTCTTGGGACACTTGATCAAAAATGTACTAAATGTGTAAACTAAAACTAAAATTACCGCTATTAATATTGCCATCCTTTGACCAAAGTTTATTTCATTAGTTTAAATGGAGAAGATAACTTCGATGAATTGATTCAAGGAGTAAACAGCCCTTCACTGGGCAGCTGGCATTTCAACTTCATTGCTATTCAAAATAAATTGCAATTAAGCCTTGCAGCCCAGAGACGGACTAATCCTTCCTTGATTAAATTGATAATTCCATTTTTCATCTATTGGGTTGTTTAGGAAGAACATTAAGCAAATATATAAAAGTAATTGCACAAGTAAAAGAGTTAGGAACTTGGAAACACAGAAACTTAGGCGAAAAGTTGAACGAAAACAGAGTTTACACTAAAAAAGTTGGATTTAAAGTTGAAATTTTCAATTTTGAAGTCACCAATGAGGGAAAACAATATGAAATGAACTATAAAATATTTTAAATGAATGCTATATAAGTTGAATCGACCGGATGCAGAGAAGATGAGACACAAACCTTTCTAGGGGAGGGAAAAGAGACAAAAAAAGAGACAAAAAAGGCTAAAGAGAGCAAATTGTTGATCAATTTATTTCATTGGTGAATTTTGTCAGAAGAGCTTATCACTTGTGTTCAGACTAAATGGGGATATAGACGGAAGGATGTTAAACTCTCACTAATTCAATTGTTATCGTTGGTGATGATTAGAGCCACTCTTTCCATTTCCTGTGTCTTCACCATTGCCACTCATTTTTGTCATAATCGGTAAACTTTGAGTCAACAAGTCTTTACACTCTTGACTCAACTGGACATAACAGTCATCAAAAGATAAGGGTTCAAAACGGAGAGACACATTTTTTGGTAAAGATACAAGCGATTGAAAAGATAAGACAGTTACATATCAACTTACATTACAAATATTGTTTCAAGTTTAATGGAGTTTAACATCATTAACTAATTGGAAATTGTGATTAAGTAATAGCATTGGATTATAAGAATTGACAACTGGTATTAACACAAACTAATAACAACGTGATGAAATCAAATTGAATTTTTCTCGTATTTATTCAAATAGCCTATTCTCCTCCCCAGATTGAGCCAGCAAACTGCAAATCAAGATTTACATTTCCCCTCTCATTTTTGGTATCACCAGTTAATTTAGCTCAAGCAACACCTTTAATAGTGAGTGAATTTTAATCATGGTTAATGATCAACATAATTACCATCATATTACCAACAGCAGGCGTCAACAGTCACTATATAAAGGTTAGTAAATCAGTGTGAAATAACAAATACAAGGTAATGATATGTGTTTAAATTATTAATTTTTTATATTATAATTGGCACCTTATCAGTACAAAAAATAAATGATACAAATTTTAAAGTCCATCAGTCATTGCATACCTTTTAGTCCAATCTTTAACTATTCGATTATATTGTTCTCTATCTTTTTTGTATAGATTGGCGGCTTCGGTGACCAAAGGATCATCAGGATTGGGATCAGTTAATAGAGATGTGATTGAAAGCATAACTTGGGAAATGGTCAAAGCAGCTGACCAACGACCCTTCTTTAAAATATCCAAGCAAATGTTACCCTCTTTACTTATATTGGGATGATATATTTTGGTCTTGAATCGGATCCGAGGAGGGTCAAATGGATAATCTTTTGGAAAGTTTATTTGAATGAAAAAGATTCCGCCCTGATAAGGTGAATCTGATGGGCCAGATATCATTCCTTCCCATGAATACAAGTCATCACCAATTGGACCAGCTGAACATCCCTCCGGTGGATCTTTCTCAAACTCATCCAATTCCATTTTTATCCTATGAATTGCCATAACGTCACTCAATGATGGCCATCATGTCCGAATCGGTTTCAAATCAACCACCAATTAAATCACCTTAACTCATTTAATTTATATTTTGTTGTAGGGTTGATTGTGATAGTTAAATAAACAATTAGCAACTGCTGATTGTTGGCCATTTGCTACTCTCAAACAATTAGACTCTGATTGTTGCAAGATTGATAGGCCTTAACCATTGAATAAAAAATAATTGGAGAAAGAAAATTTTGACAATTCCATTTTTAGTTAATAATATACATTTTATATTTTTAATTGTTGATGAAATGTAGGTGGTTACAGAAAAGTGATAATTTGATTACCAGAAAAGATTGTTGCAATAATTAAATGATAATAATAAATGAATTGATGATGTAAGGTCAAGCAGGTTGATACAATAGTTGACGTGAAAAAAGCAGATTCATTGGTATCATGTGTTGATTCAGTTATTGGCGATTAACCAATATTTGAAGAAGGTGAATGTGATGAATTGTTATTTAAATATTTTCCAAGAATATGATGAAAATCTTTGAGACAACATTTGATTAAGGGAAACATTTTATTACAAATTGATTTAGTATAACCAGTACAACGAAATCCTTTACCAGGTCCCATTAAACCTCCAGTAACTTCGTTGAGGCAACATAATCGAGCTCGAAGCAATTTAGAAACGGAAATATCAACGCAAACAGATTTATCGAAACCATTACAGCGTTTACCATTCAATAGCCAAACCTCATTGGTAACATTGATTGAAGATGAATTATTGGTGATCATTTGATTGTTGATGTTAATATTGTTGTACATTGAAGGTCGTTTTCTGAGGGATGATAAATTCGATGTAATTGATTGATTTGATGGAAATTTTGAGTTTGAGGTTTCATTTGCAGTTGAAATGACAACAGGACCTGACTCATTTCCTGTTCCGCCAACAAAAAATTGCCAAATTTTCCAAACAGAGCGAACTCCAAAGGGTTCAACTGAAACTGCAGAATGTCCTGGTAATGAAGGCGACACTGAGGATGAATTCAACGATTCATTTGAATCTATTGAAGTTAATACATTAATGGTTACTTTAGGTTTCACTGTTGTTGCCGTCAGTGAGGATGTTGATAATGATGGCGTTGCCAGTGAAGATACAACATGAATATTGTCTGTTATTGGTATTGAAGGTAACATTGGAGACTCGCCGGACCCACTGGCACTGCCATCTGATTCATCAATCAAATCTTTCTGTTGCCTACCGAAAGGTTTACCCAAATCAATAACCATTTTTTTACCATCACTTGATTCGTACACATTTGAACCGGGCAACAGCTGATTATCATATATTTCTTTGGTTATATTTGCATTAAGATAATCAGTGTTTGACTGGTTTGTTTCCCCACTCGAACCAGACTCACTTTTGGGAACGATTGAACCAATAAATTTGGATTGACTTTTGTGAACCGAGTTGATCAAAAGTGAACTAAGGCTTGGGTGATTGCTGTTGTATGTTGAAGATTTGTTTATCGACGGTTGAGATTTATTTTGACAAATTTTACCACAAGGATAATCAAAATAACTGGATAATAAGGTTGTGTGAACGATTGGTACATCGTGAAGTCCACTTAAAGGATAAGGCACATAGTAGGTTAATCGACCGCATCTGTAAACAACAAGAAATACAAATTAGTCTTTTTTAGTCAACTAGAATTTTCAATTTTTTCATAATTTTAACCAAACACATTTGTGAAAATTTGTGTCTCTCGAATTCTAAGAATCTTTAGCTTGAATCACGAATACTATAGCTCTCAATGTAAGTGAATTGTCCATTTTCTTGGCATTTGTTTTTCAGTAGAGATTATTATTAACGTTATCATGAATATTAACATAAATCGTAATCTTTTCAGGATTCAGACAAAACCAATTGAGCTATCAAATGGGTAACTATTGGTTATGTTGTAAGTAAAGTATCGTGTAATTGCATCAATGAAAGTGTACAACTCTGGAAATAATTTCCTGATTAAGATAAGTTTATACTAATAGCTTTCAATGTTTCAATTAATTCTACACAAATTATTATAATTGTTATTGGATAAGCCTAAGAGTATATCAATTAAATCCTTAACCTTGATTGTTGATTGGCACAAAAAAAACGATTTATTATTGCTTTAAGGATTGAAATTGTAATTTTGCATTGTTACTATTACAGTAAAGGTAGAATCGCAATAGCTGTTTCTATTTTTTACTCAATTTGTGGTAATTTTGATCAGAAAGGAGGACCTGCAAAATCGCCTGTTTTCGATTTCTTTTGAAATGATACTTTTCAGACACAAAATTTAATGGCAATTTCATAAATCGAATCTATTTTTTTATAGCATGCATAGTTTTTGAGATATCGGCCAAAATATCTAAATATCACATAGTATTAGAGACCTTTTAAACATAATGAAGATGCCGTCTAAGCCAGCCAAATATTAGCATTATCAATGAAATCAAGTATGTTAAATAATATAGTGAAGGTTTGGTTCCTGAAAAAATAGCCAAACAGGGTTAAAATTGTAAAAAACTGAATTTGAACAGGGATTAATAAGCGTATTTTTGAAAATGATGAAGAAGCCGTCTAAGCCAGCTGAATCTTGGCAAAACAAATGTAATCGAGTATGCTGAATAATCTAGTGGTGGTTGAAGCTTTGAAAAAATAGCCAAACAGATTGAAAATTGCCGAAAACTGGATTTCGTTAAATTTTACTGAATGTCAATGCAACACCCTGTTTGGCTATTTTTCTAGGAATCAAACCATCACCATATTATTCAGCATACTCGATTACACTGATAATGTCAATATTTAGCTGGCTTAGACGGCATCTTCATTATTTAAAAGGTCATTAATAAATCTATATTTTAATCTGGTTTTTCGCAATTTTAACCCTATTTGGCGATTTTTTAAGGGACCAAACCTTCACTATATTGTTCAGCATCTTTGATAACATAGATCACGAATAGAATCGGCTGGCTTAGCGACCTCTTCTAACGTGCTAAAAAATGCAACCTTCGAATCATGATATGAACTTTCCTCTCGAATGCGTTAATTTAGCAAAAAAAGAAACAGATATTCGGAATCAGCATGAAAAATTACATTCGAAAAAGTTCATTTCATAAATATATCCTAAGAGGAGATTTGCCCTATTCATTTGCAGGTCCTCCTTTCTTCCTTTTATAGATGAAAAATGAAATTTAGTTGACTAGCTAAGATAGCATAGATTCCGCACTTTTTTCAACATATTGTCCACCACCCAAATCTAACATCTCCACCCTCATATCTATCAGCGTTGAACAATCTGGTGAAAAATCTTATGAAAAACAATTGATTGAAAATGTGGCGAACAATTCGTTGGGAAATTTGGTTGAGAAAAGTCTCTCAGAAAAGTGGTGTTGAATGATTTGATAAATGATGGATGTGTTAGATTTGGTGGACAATATGGTGGACGTTGAAAAAGCGATTGAAAAAGAGTTTGAAAAGGCGATGGAAAAATGTGGTAGATAAAGAGGTGGATGTGGTGGAAAGCCGGTCCCACCCTGACAAGTAAACAAATCAGTGCAACATAGAAGGTTAAAAGTAAAAATAGTTAACCAGAATGGGAAAATAACTTTTAACAGTTTATGGTTGTTGATGATGAAAATGTAACGACTGGCAAGATAGACTGAAGTCATTTAGTTAATAATTAATGTTTGAGTGAACTTTAAATTTACCAATAATTACTATAAATAGTAACTTCAGTGACTCTATTTGATTCCTTGTTTTTAACCTCAGATCATCAGGCAAAGAAGCGTTTCATTCACCCAAAAATGTAAGATATTTCGTCTCTAGATAAAACAAGCACAATTTACAGATTCAATTTGGTTTCTTGAGATATTTAGATTTCATTTTAGTGCGTATTCGGTGTAAATCACAAAAAAAGGTGTATTTTTGTATATAAATTGATGATTTAATTCATGAATAATCTTCGCTGGTTTATCAAAAGCTGAAATTTTCAATGGGTTCAGTGTGATTAGTTTGTTAAATTTGTCTGGTGTTTCAGTACTGAACGGTTATACTCAATAAGGCAAGACAGAAAAAATTAACAAAGCGATTTGATTGGCAACAAAATGATGTGAGAGCCAAATTATGATTAGATTATGTTAATTTTGTCGTTAGACTGAGTTAATACAAAGGTTTTTACTTACCGATCATAAACAAACATATCATCTTTACCACCCTCCAATTTACGCCAAATGGGTTCGTCACTGGTTTCTTGATAAACCTTGATACCAGAATCTTTGACAAGCTCTAACAAGGAGTTGAAATCATTGGCAGTCTGTTGACTGTTGATAATAATGAAACGGATATCGGTTAGACCAGTGCTTTGTAAAAATTTTAACATTGATTTTAATCGGAGTATCTGTTGTTGAGCTAATTGTCAGCTGTATTTCATGAGCGCAATCAGAGTAACATCACCAACAGACTCTTCCATTGGGCTTATGATACCAGAAGATGAAGCCAGTCCGGTTGGTGTAACATTCCAGGCTGGAGGTTCAGAGCAAGGCTCGGGTTTACAACTGACTGGCGGTTGAAACAATAAAAGGCCAAGAAAAAATAAAGTAAAGATAATTTTGGATGGCGATAAAATGAGTAAAAACATACGGAGAAACATGTGCATTGAGAAAGTGTTAACAAAAATAAGATATGAAGAGGAGTGATTTGGGAAGATAACGTTCAGAGCGATCAAAGATGATAAGTTGTGGGTAAGAGTTGAAACAATTGAAATATAATTACAACTGTTATTGAAAATTAACGCAAAGTTGGTTACAATTTTTTAGGGGTTTTTATCCTCTAAGATTCACCAATAAACTTGCCATAAACACACTTAAAGACAGCGAGGTAAGTCAGTAACTAAACATGTTGATACATCGAGCTGAAAATCTTGAGCATCTTGACAACATTCTTGAAATTTTCTCTCGTCTCCTCCTCCACTTCACCATTTTTAACATCTCACCGTCTTCATCTTCATCATGTTATCATCTTTTAACTTAATTTATTTTTCCTTTAACCATTAGTCAAGTTTGACAGGTGAACGCTATCATTATCTAAACATTTTTGTTTTGCAAAATTTTTTGATAATGGCGAGTCACGAGAATCACCTTGATTGCCAATGTATTATCAAATAATTAATTGCGATGGAAAGCTTTGGGTAACAATACAGTATTACCCGTTGGTTATGACGCTATTAACATTATTGATAAACCATTAGAAAATACATTTTTGTTTATCTTACTTTTTAATCACATGGTTGGAATTGATTTCAAATAATATTCCGTCCCAATTGGAATTGAAAATTTAAGCAATATTCATTTTCTTACACAGTTATATCAAAGATGAATTGAGATTTGAACATATTAGTTATGTTTATGGGTTAGTTTATTGTCTATTGTTGTCTGTTTATCAAATGGTAGATTACTGATTGTTTAGATCCAATTTTGTAATCAACTGAAATTTAGAGGGGAAATAATGTAATTCAGAATGGGATAGTTCACGATTAAGTCTGATTAAAATGAACAAAGTTCAATCTGAGCAAATGTTGCTTTGAATTTAACAGTAAAATTAGCAGTGAAAATGTGACTTTACTTTTCGGTTGAAAACAAATCAATCAGAATTCATTAGATAGTTATTTAAGATAAACAATATTCCACCTCAAAAAGATGTAGAAAAACGTAATTCATGGAAAGTGTCAATTGTATCAATACTAGCTTACTTTGCATGTAAATTAACTGGTTACTAATTAGGAATTACAGATTGTTAATTAGCAAAACAAAAGCTAGAAATTTGTAAATTGCATGAAATGTGTTTATTGGTTATGAGACAAAAATTAGTCCATCACTAGAATCTGTATTTCTTGATCTCCATTCATCAATATCGAAAAATATCTTGAAAATCGCCAACAGTGTTCCGATTATTGAGCTAATTAAGATGAAAATTATCAAGTTGATTAACAGTGGCTGGAGGAAAATATTTAGAGACAGAAAGTTTGTTATATAATTGAGGTAACCAAGGAATGAAAGGTAATAGACAAAGAGTACGATCAATGGAATAACAATTAGATCATATTTAGCTCTCTCATCTTGTCGTATCCAATCTCGACAAGAGGGACGCATCTTAATGATAATTTATTATCTATTGTTGTCTGTTTATCAAATGGGTTGATTACTGATTGTTTAGATCATGTAGTCTGGTGAAATTAAGGGGAAGTTGATCTCAGATATTATAATGTAATATGGGATGTTTCAAATAAAAGTTGATTGAAATGAGCAAAGTTCAATTTTCACTTGAGTATATTTTTTTCTTTGAATTGAGTTTTACAATAAAATTGAGGGTAAAAATGTGACTTTACAATTTGAGTTTAAAAACACAGATCATTCAGAATCTCATTGGACAGTCAAGCAGTATAACAGTAAAAATAAACAATATTCCACCTCAAAAAAAGATGTAGAAAAACGTAATTCATTTAATGATGAGCAGTTTTTCGATGAAATAATTTCTTTTTAATTTGGAATGTCAATACCAAAGTTTCCTTGTTTTTTTTGTTAGATTTGATTTTTGTATGACTAGTTTGATCGATTATGTTGGTTTCTCGGATCTCCAAAAGGTTACAATTGACATAAAACATTCACGTCTGAATGGCAAGAAATTCAATATTGAGTATTGGCAGATAATGAGGAGAGAAGCAGAAGCTGTCACAGGAAAATCATATTGAGTATCAGCGTTGTAAATGAAAGTTCCAAAACTTTTTCTTTTTGACTAAAATGGGCAAAATTTTCACAATACCTAACAAAATTGCGAATGTATAAATTAAAGTAACATCAAGTCGGAGAAGTGATACCAAAGGATATTGTAGGATAATAATTTTAAATCTTTGGCTCTTTGGGTGAAAAGATTCTTTGAATTTCTTGGAGAGATTTGCCTTTTGTTTCTGGAAGAATCCATGCTACTATGAGAGCACATATTATACAAATTGTACCAAAAGTACCAAAAGTTCCAGCTTTACCAACCAAATCTTGATAAGAAGCGAATTCTTTGGAAACAATGAAACAACCTAACCAATTGAATGCAGTAGCTATTCCGGATGCGACACCTTTAACTTGAGCAGGAAGTAATTCACTCATAAGTAGCCATGGAAGAGGTCCAAAACCCAGAGAGAAGGCCGAAGTATAGATAGCGAGAGAGGTAAGAGGAAGCCAACCATACGAATCACTGAAGGATTTACCATGAACGTCTGATAAATGGTAATAAAGAGTTAAAACAAGTAAAGATAAACCCATGAAAATTCCGGAAGCAATAAGGAGAAAACGACGGCCCAAGCGATCAGTCAAAATACAAGCAATAAACGTAGCAATCACTTGAATTACACCAATGATAATGGTTGCCAAATTATCATTGATAGTAGATCCTGATGAATGGAAGATATCAACGGTGTAAAAAAGAACGGCATTTATCCCTGAGAATTGTTGTCCAAACATAATGAATAGAACAAGGAGAAAAGGTTTATAAATTGATGGACTGCGAAAACTGGAGAATGAGTCTAAACAGTTATCGGATTGATTTTCTTTAACGATGATAGGCGCTGATTCTGGAGGAGTTTGTCGGAAAAATACATAAGCAATCATAGCAGCTTCATGGCGGCCTTTCAGTGATAACCATGTTGGTGTTTCATGGAGAGCTCCAACAACACACAGCATTCCTAAAGGGTAAATAGTGGCGTAAACTGCGTGCCATGGCCAACTCAGATAGTTACCAGCTACATAACTAGCTACTAAACCAACACCAACAAAAAGTTGAAAACCAGAACCGATTAAACCACGACGATTTGTAGGAACAGTTTCACTGATGAAAATTGAACAAGCTAATGTACAGCCACCACAACTGAAACCAGTCAGAGCTCTACCAATGAGTAAAACTTGAACTTTTGTTGCATAAGCAATACAAAGCCAACCAGCGACAAATGGGACAGAGAGTAGCATCAGAGTTAATCGTCGTCCAATCTTTTCGATACTTTGACCAGCAATAATACCACCGAAAAGAGCGGCCAAAGCAAGGATACTCGCAAACCATGACTGAAGAGACTTTGATGTGAGAATCAGTTGGCTTGATTGTAATTTCATACCAGGTAAAGCTGTTGATGAGTAACCAAGTGCTGTTCCGATCGATAGTGAGCCCAGGTAGGCTCCAACAGCAGCCCAATAATAGCGAGGAAACTTTGGTCCATCGTATTGTATCAATGATGTTGTATCGACTTCCATCACAAGGTTAGAACAATTATAATATAAAATTAATGTAACGATGTCAAAAAAGGATCGTTAATAAACATGCAAATAGTTGAACTGATCAAAACTTAGATAAAAACGTGGGAAATACAAATAATCAATTTTTCAAATCAGTGATTAGACGCACAATTAGAGTTGGATATGCCAAAAAAATGTAACAGAGATCAGAAAGGAGTATTAAGAGCTAATTGAATAACCAGTACTCTTTAGTATAAACTAATCCATATGTTTATTTTCCACTTCTTTGGAACTTTTCCTCTTTCCATTCACAAAATACAGTAGTAATCTCGCAATTGACTTAAGATTCTATCAAGTAAAACTTTAATCTTTACCACAGAGATACAACAAAACAGACATATGTTTACAAGTGAGAGCTGTACAGGTAAATTACCTATGTCACGATTTGTTATTGTTATTGTTCCTCTTACTGAAGCTGTTCCTCTATCGGATACAATGTGAAACAAAAAAGTGCCAAACTCGAATTGAGCCTTTCAGTTTTTCAAAAATGTATTAACAATAAGCGTTTAAAAAATCTTTCATTCATGAATAACCTAAAATTGAAGAAGCACTAATCCACTTTGATAGTACAAGTACTTCATTGACAAGATTTTCTAGCACTTATCATTGATTGTATTGGATTGATTATAACATTGGAGTTTATTGCTTTCTGTAAAAAACTTTCCAAGAACTAAAATAATCTGTAATAAATGAATTATAAATTTACAATTTACAAATCAATTTCAAGTTATTTAATAGTTTCAATCTCCAACAAATGGTGACTCAAATCTTAAAAAGATCCCATGGTTCAATTAGATATCTCACTGGTAAAGGACAAGAATGACTTTCATCAAAATCCAGTAAATGCTTGGAAACCTGAAAATAATGAGAATAATTTCATTGTGTTTAAAATTGAATCAATTTTTTCAAAGCTATAAAATCTTACCAGAAAAATAATCAAACAAATTTTTGTCTGTTCATCCAACCCATTACCAATGAAAACCGGGAATCGTCGACCATTTTGATTAAGATAATTTCTCAAAATAGATTCACATGCAACTGAATCAACTTTATGGTCAATCATCATTCGATCTAGGGAGGAAGGTTCGAGAGAAAGGAAATGATAAAAGTTACTTCTTAGATTTAACATATTGATATTTACCAATTATTCAATTCAGTTTGAGAAATCAAAATTTTCTATTTTAAATTATCAATCAACTAACTTACCTTGATGATTAGAATCACCGGACAGCCAACATTTTAGAGCCAAACAAACAGATGTATCAGCCATTAGTGATGGGAAACGCTGATTGAATAGATTGATTATGATATAATTTGCTCGATTTGACATGATTTGATCAGATAGAATGTCTGTTGTAACAATATCTTTAGTCCTTCGTATGACCAAAACTGGACCAGGATAACGAGTTAGATGATCTGAAACATTCAGGTTAAAATGTTTTCTCATTGAAGTCTGCCAATAAGTACGACTGATTCTCGGTATTTTACTCGAAATTACGTTATAAATATGGTCAAAAGAAGCATCTAGAATTAAGCCTCGAATGTGAGGATAGTTCATAGCAGCCCAGCTTGAAGTGTAACCACCAATAGACCAACCATACAATATAATCGATTCTTGACTAAAACCAAATTTGTCCAGAGCAAGCTTCATAACGGTATCAATGGCATTAACTTCAGCTTCAGGAAATGGTTGACCAGTTGAAGAGCCGAAACCAGGATGATTCCAACCAAGAACAGAGTAGCCTTAAAATTTTAATAGAAATTAAGAAAATTAAATCATCTGTAAAGAGTAATGCAAGCGATCAAATTGGACTTACCTGCTAATAACGGACACCATAGACTGCTGCACTCATAATAACCCATGTTTCCTTCACAAGTAATAACCAAAGCATTTCCTTTAGCAGTGTTAGCTCTTTGATCGATAAACATTGAATCAATGAGATTGCCATCATTTGTCAACAATTTACACCGTCTACCTGAATAATCTTTAATCAAGCGTAATCGTTTGTCCCGAATTTTCTGAGACATTAATAAATTGTTCATCATTGTTGATCCTGGATAGATTAATTTGATTCCCATTGTTTTCATATAAATTGAAGTTACAATTTCCTGTGGTAATTGAAGCAGATAGTGAAAAAATGACGTCTCTTCAGGTTCACTGATCAACGGTTTAGGAGGCTTTTTGGGGTCAGCGAGACGAGCTTCACTCCATTTAAATGTTATAGGCATTGATTCAAACTCATTCTCGTAATAATTAATTCGATTAGTGGTATAAGATGGTTCCATTATGATTGGCTAAACAAGGCAAAGTTACAATTAAACTACATCAGAAACACAACTAACTTTACTTTCAACTGATCACTTTAACTAGTTATTTAAACATAATAATGTAATAATGAGCCGGACAAGGAAATTTGTTATCTCCATGAAGATTTATGATCAATCAAATGAACCAGTCAAGGTAATTAGTAGCCTATTTGTGACGATGTTACTAATACGATTACTAATACTTCCAAGTTTGGTATCTCAGTAATCAACAAAAATTAATAAACAATTCGATCAATACTTAAAGTAGTACTTAATGTAGTTTGATTTTTTGAAAAAGTTCAAGTCAACATTTGTGACACCAATAATGTTGCTGCTAAATAGCATTGTGAACAAATCATTTAAAAAGTTTAAATAAAGTTCCATTTAATTTATTAGATTTAGACAATAAAACGAATGTTTGTTCAATTTTAATTTAATTTCAATAAATCTATTCCATCATGCTCTTTAAGCAGTCGATAATGAGGATCTTAGATTGGTACCACAAAAAATGTATAAAATTAACTATGAACTTGCGATTCAAAATAGGAAAAAATGCCAGAGGCACTCAAATAGTCATGTCTTCATCTAGGATTCCTAGATTAGGAAGCATGCTGTTCAGAGTTTCTCGTAATTCGAATTAATTATGCGATTAAGTCTATTTATGATGCTGTATTCTTTTTGCCTTTAATAACTGTTGGCCTATCTTTGATGGTTCCTTTTCGTTTTCTGCTTGTCTGTTATTCAAAAAGAAAGAAAGAAAGAAAAGACAATTAGACATTGATTTATTATACGAATCGAATCAAACTATGATTTTTGATTTTTAAACAATTAGTACACACCTTTTTACTAGAAAATATATTTTTTGGTTTTAATTTTCTATCTGGATAGCGAATCCTTGGTCTATTTGACGGTTCTTTAACTCGGTATATTCTTACAAGCCAATGTTCAGTTGTATAAGCTTCCTCCAAATGTTCTAATTTGATATCTTTATTACCTATTTCAGCATTTCTGGTCCTATCAAAACCAGCTGGTGCACGATAATCAATCTAAATAGGAATGGCAAATGCGTTAACAATAGTGAATGACAATCATTTCAACTAGAAAATAGAAGACAGTGAAACAAACCTGCAAATCACCAAAACGATAATAGCTTAATTTGTACATTAAACAATTGAGAAGAGTTGGAGAGCCTCCTGAATCAACCCTGAATTCTCCTTTTTCTGTGAAATAATCACTTTCTCTAATATCTTTAGGGTGTTCGCCTTCAGCAATTCTAACCATCCACAAGAACTTATTGATATCATCACCAGAATAGCCAATGACACCACCGAAAATAACCAAAACGTAATCAACATCAAGAGACCTCATTATAGAGTAAGCAGCAGATTCGTTAGATGCCATTGCTTTACCAACTAAGGCAATATGACTGTTATTCCACGTATTGTTATCGACTAAAGTAGTTCTGTTTGCCATTCCAGCAATCTGGTAACCATAGTCCCACCATGACATAACTCTAGCATTGTCATCAGTATTTTGTGATAGCCAATAATAAGCTTCTCGGAAATCATCAAGAATTACACGAGACCTGAAGTAAAAGATTCGAGGTAAATATAGTAACAAACAAAATCAATAAATAAATAAGTAAGTAAATAAATCAATGAGTAAAGTAAAAACAGAATTAAAGTTAACTTACCCATCAGAACCATAGCTTGATAAGACAATACTTGGACTTGAATAAGCATTTGCTGTCACCCAGGTACAATGAACAACAAAAAGAACTAACATGGCAAATAAACCAAACCAAACAAATGCCCGTATGTTAGAACCAATTCCTTGATTATCTTTATTAACATCTGGTTTAATTTTACGTATCTTGCCAGCCTACATTGGTAATAAAATAAGAAGACCATTAGAAAAAGATAATCATACAAAAAGAAATTAGCTGATACTAGAAATCAGCAATAAAATTTAGTTAGCTTACTTTGTCATAGAGATTGCGACTACTTTTTTTCTCGGTAGAACTATCATCACTTTCCTCTTGATCGCTTCGATCTTCATCATCACCTCCTTGAATCGATTTTTTTGAGCCTTTTGGCTTGTCATCTGATTGTAAAGTGAAATAGAAACACTCGGAAAAGGCAATAGCACTAAGAACGCAGACGACTGGAGCTAAAGTCAACATTAAACGCACCATGACTCCGGCAAAGTAAGAGGCGGTAATAGCATATAATGCAACTAAGAAGAATATGAAGATAAATGTTAATAACAGTCTTAAAGTAAAAAACGTCGAAACTTTTTGATAATTAAAACTTACTGAATACTCGCTCATCGTTAACTTGTTTTATGCAATAAAAGAGACCGATAGGGAAAGTTGGAACGAGAAGATGGAGATCAAAGAAGAAAGAAAACCAAGTAGTGGGTTGATGCTCTGAGACTGAAGCAATAATTGGAATGTGAATTCTAGCATAACCAGTGTCCCATAAAGAGTAGAAACGACCACTCCAAGGTGCAATGTAGCCGGCATAGGTTAAACCAACTACTCCAAGGAAAACAACACAGGCAACACTGACTGTAGCAGTAAGGAAGAAATATTTGAATTCTTGCTTTGTCATAACCGATTGGAAATATTTGAGAACCGCATAAGCATTGATCAGAAGAAAAACACCAGCGGAAGCCATGTGTTCACTAGTTCTAACAGGTTGGAATCCAACAAAAGGTATTTGCATGGAAAGAAGCAGACCGAGGATGAAAAAAACGGTGTAAGCTTGAAAGAGAAAAAAGAAAAATTAAATATTTGCAGATATAAAAATGTTTAAAATGAGTAAAATACAAAATCAACCAACCGATGTGGATCCTAGTTGAATATCTTCCCATTAAAAGAAGGAAGAATACATGTAAAGGTATCAAGTTGATGATGAAGACGTATCCTCCCCAAGCAGAGACCATATAAAAGTAGGAAAGAGCACATAAAGTGGCCCAAAAGACGGTTCCAGTTTTGACAGCTTTCACCTAGGAAAGTAATCGAAACCGCACATAAAATGTTTGATTTGATTTAGATTAAATTTGCTTTCTTATTTTCCTTTTTCGCTTTTTTGTGAAAATTAAAAAATCATACCCATAAGTAATAAGTATACATCAAGGCGAATATTGCAATTCCTTCATTGTCATAACTTCCAGCGACAGATCGACTTATGTAACCGGGTACTGAAAAAATGAAAAAATGAATTATTTTCTTTGGAAAAAAGAATCATTTCTAAATTTCTACGGAATAAAATCTTGTGCCTATAGAAAATTGGCAAAGATTATATAAATAGAAAAAAATTAAAAATGATGTTTTTTAAGTCAGGAAGTTGCAACGTAATGCCGATCAATCTAATCTGATCTTGAGTGAAGAGTCTAACAAAATGAAAAGGTGATGATAATCAAGATTGACACCCACCGATGGATATAAAACATGCAGCAAATAATCCAGCTCCTTCGTTCCATAATTCTTTGGTCAATAAATAGGTGGCTATTGCTGTGAGACCACTAAAGACTGGAGCTAAAAATACACAAACATCTCGAATGTGTACAGAAATGTTTAATAGTTGCAGAATGTAGTGGATGGAACCAGAGGTTATCATTAAACCTGGATAAACCTGTGAAGAAACGAGTGGAATCAAATAAGAGACCGCAGATTTATTATAGATCAATTACATACAGTTCCTCCGACAATTCTTCCTAGTGGATACCATGCCCTTTCATCAAACCAATTTAAAAAATTGTAGAAGCCATGTTTAACCATATAATGAGTTGCCCGGTAATTGAACCTGTTCATGAAAGAAAGACAACATCATGATATACTTGGTTTGCAAAGATGAGAATAAATTAAATTGATGTCAGATGAGAGATGGACATGACAGTTGAAAAAAATGAAGATGAATGAGACGAGAATGGAATAACAATAAGAAACATTGAAAAATAAAGCACTGAAATAAGATTAAAGATTGAGAATGGGACAACTAAGGATATGTTACACTTATAAAGCAGAGATGGAGACATGAAATGAGAGATAGCGACCACAAATTTTATAAAAAAGTCAGCTGATAGTAAATTGTACTCACCATGGATCAAATTCATGGATAATTGATTCAAATCGGATGACAGCAAATAAACGTGAACAGAAGGCAATTACCCAGGCAAGACCGAGAATCGTGAATCTCAATAAACTTTTACGAACAAATAAATGGGAATCATTTGATTTACTTTTATTCTTAGTAGTGGGTTCCCGAATTGACGCAGAACGCACTAATTGACACATAATTTATTCAATCAATAACACTAGTTAATTGACTAAAATCCCTATGGAACAACTATAAAGAATGCAATGAAGGATTAAAATTAAAAAATTGTTAATTTAATGTTTTGGTGATGTGTAATAATTCATGGTTTCAAGCCCCGGTTCTTTAACTTAGCAATGGAAAAATATAACACCACGCAACTAGAAATTAGGGGCTGTTGCTAAATAAGAAATGAAAAAATGGTTTTCTGCAATTTTCACCAGAGCCATCTAGGGAGATAGATATCTAGTTTGGTAAATCAACAGTTTTGCTTAAAGTTATTAAAATTATTTTCTCATTATTATCAATTTAAAGCGATCAATCTTGAATTTGATCTGACATATTTATGATAAGTGAAAGTTTGAACTTGAAATCATTATAAAAATGTGCAGTTAGTGTATTTTTTGTATGATTAACAAATTCATTGTCAACAATTCAACTGTACTGTATCACAATAACAGTACAGTAGTGGCTAGGGTTACATTAACAAAAAAAGGCCAGAATCAAGTTAATCCTTAGATGTCGCCATTTCGATCATATTTAGTTTTCCGAGACACTTAACAATAGGAAACTGGACAAAATTAAATGCGATCATAAAGGTACTACATGTATTTCTTGTTAGATGGCGACTAATCTTCGATTTTGTTAACTTAATGTTAGGCTAATGTTTATCATTGGCGATAAGACTGCTAACATTCATATGTTGTAATCTGGATCTTGGGATTAGAGTTCAAATCCAGAGTTAGGGCGACATACAGTATTGCTTAAGGCCCCTGGATTATCCATTTTCCCTTCATGATGGATTCCCAGCTAAGCTGGATAAAGCCTAGCGCCTATGGGTAAGTAAAACACCCAACAAGTAAGTAAGTACCTTGTAAGTAGCAAAGAGTAGACGGCACCTTAAATGATGTTGCGACTGGCCGGTCGACACAAGCTAAAATTTAACTTAGGTTTGACTGCTGATGTAACAAGTTGTAACAACTAATCAACAGTTTATATCAATTCTGATTTTCCGTATTTAACTATTGGATAATAACTTGGTAATTTGTAAGCTCAGAATTATTTTTTTCGTTTGTTTTAACCATTGAACAAAACAAATCTGTTTTTCCTCTTCTCTTCTTCAAAACATTATCACAAAGTAACAAATTGTTACTATTTTAAATTACTGATCGCAACCGTTTTGGCTTTTTTATTTTCAGGTGTTCTAGTTTTAAACCCTTCAACTCTCTATTTTGCAATTTATTTTGGTACTTATTGGAAAAACGGCTCGAATGTACAACATCAGCTATTGTTAAATTTATGGCGACTTTAATTTGACATGCTTTTGATTTTTGGTGAATTGAGGAAGTGGTTAACTTGAGTAAATTAGAGATGGTTGGTTACGACCCGAATAGCAAATCACACCTTCACCAGCAGATTAAATTATAAATTAGGCGATATTGTGATGAGTTTTGATACTCTGGCTGGCCCTTTACCGTTATTCAAGATGCGTCTTAATTACAATTTAATCAATATCTCAGGAGACTGTTGAAACTCAATGAAGCAAAAGTCAACGTTTGTATTCAAAAATTGTAACTCAAAATCAGAATGTCGGTTCACAACAGATGCAGATTTACCAAGGATCACTCTCAAAGTATTCATCGAGATTCAAGTCGACTTGTAATCTATTAATCGAAAAGCATCTTCAATCTCAAGAACTTAATGAAGCAATTCTGACTTCAATCAGTGGCTTTAAACTCATTGAATTATCAAAAGTCAACCCAAAATCTAAAGAGCATTCCCAAGTCTCATGAACTATCCACGAAACAAAACATGTTGAACTTGAAACTAAACTTTTACTTTTAGTGCTTCTCGTCTCACGGCTTCTCAATTGATTCATAAATTATTCCAACAGGTCTACCCATTTGAACCCTTTTTGTATCTGATTTATCGCTTCAATTGATAACTTTCTATTGCTTCCAGAAATTATCACAGCTATAAACCCAATTTCACCTCTATTTACAGTTTTCATGGAAACATGATCAAAATGGCACTTGCAGTGTCTATCAATATTGTGAACAAGGTTAATCATCACATTTACGTTTTACATGAATTATTCAAAAATGAAAACAAACCCAAAAAACCAGAATATCAAACTGTAACTCAATAACAATGACATCCACGTATAAACTAACAAAGATTTCAAATAATCACTTTAAATCATTTCATTAATGTCTTTTTTTATTACAAGCAACTGATTCGCTTTTCAGTGACAAGTAATTACCCAAATAGTTAACTCTATTTTTAACACAAAAAATAGCAAAACAATTTTTAATGTAAAAACGGTAATCTTTTCACTTTGAATTGTTAACAGATTCAAGTAAATATCATAAAACAATGGTTATAAATGGTAAATGAGATCAATAATAAATCACTATTAATTTATTGAAATCATCAAACTAAATTAATGAATTAATGTTGGATTATAAAAAAAATGTTTCAACTGTGCTACTCTACAAATGGACAAAAAATATACATAAAAAGGTACAAAAGAGATATCTATTTATCCTTTTATTTTCTCACTGGGAAACCCCAAAGGTTAGGTTATTACCTCATGCTGAATGAAATTGGGTTAATGATTGAACAAGATGAACAGGTAATCTTGAAATATCATGATAATTTAAATAGTCAACTGGATCATTATAATGATGATGAATAGCAGTTTGTTGCATCTTCTGTTGCTCTTTGATCCCATTGAGTGAAAACATTTCTGTTGGTCTCTTTTCATTGTGAATCCGTGGGATAAATTAAATGATTAAAGGCAACAATTAGTTGATGATCATCAATCGGCAAGTTAACGATGTGGTGGCAGCACATTGTAACAGGAGGGAGATGATGATTGGTAAAGACGAGAAGAAGATGAAAAGGAGTTTTCACTCCAATTTTACTTCTTTCACTTTACTTCAACGCATTCAGTCAACAATTTGAAATGTAAACAATCAGTGAAATATATTGCAATCTAACAAACACATCAATAACCGTTAATAATCATCAACAATCATCGACATTCATCAATTACCATCAATCCTTTTCAATCTGGTTACAGTGTTTTCCCATAAGGTACAACTCAATCGCATATGTATCCTGATATCAACTTACCTTCATCACAATCAACCCATTTGTTTATCACTTATAAATTGTATTTAAATCTTTATTCCTCAAAATTAACCATCATTCACCATGAATCTATTTAACACTGAAGGCAACAATTACCAGAAATACCAGAATTCATCTGTTTTAATAGTCTTAACCATTGGATTCTTAATACTAGGTAAGTTTAGCTTGTATTTTGTTTTTGTTAACAGTTTAAGTTGATCTTTTTGTTTGATTGTTTGTTGTCTTATTACATTATGAATGTTATTGTTTGTTACATGCATCATCTTTATTTGACCTGAAAAACCTTTCAGCTGTAAGGTTTGAAGATGAAGTTCAAGAATAGCTCAGTTAATGATAATAATGATGATTGAATATATTGAAGGATGATGAGGGCGAAGACCTGTTAAAGGTTACAATTTCAAGTCAAGTGTATAAACAGGACAATTAACTTTTATCTGTCAGAAAGTTTGCTTTATTTTCATCATAGTTACCTAAATACAAAATACAAACAGCACTCACATAAATACCCTTGTTTACAGTCACATGAAAAGCTTTCATCAACAAACTCATCAACTCAATTGTATCGTTGTGATTAACTTTAACCATTTGTTGCCATCTTCAAGTAATGAAACAATCAACTGGTAGCCATGCTTTTCAATGACCGAACCTAACATCTTTTGCTGCCAACTTATGATAAACCCGTTGCAATTTCAGGCCTTTTCAAACCTTTTACAAACCCATTTTTGCCCTTCAATTGTTAATTTTTTGAAAATTTATTTTTTACAGGTATTAATGGACAAGATGTGACAGGTAAACCCATTTTGGTCACAAGTAAACCTTTGATTGTAAAAGGTCCTGTTGTTGAAACTTGTAAAACGCTAAGATTTGAAGCTCACATCTTCCCATTGCCATGTAAAAAGTACAATACGAAATGTGGAACCAAAAATCCAATGAATTGTGATAGTTTTAAGGCTAAACACGAGAAAAATTGTGAAAAAATTAAGTTAAATAGACCCACTTTGTATACCAAACTTTGCACAACTGATGAATTGAAACAATAAGGTTAAAAATTTTCAATCAAACCTTCAAATCTTATTATTTACTTCAAATTATAACATGTATAAATAACATTTTTGTTGCTTGAAAAGTAAAATCTAAAAACAATTCATCAATTGATTGATTTTCAATTAACTCGGTTTACAAACTCTCTTTTTTATTTTGAATAGTTTCTCATAAAAGTATCAATTTAAACATTTTCACATCAAAGTTGATAATTTTATATCTTTTACTTAAAACTGTTAAATTGGAAAGTTTGAATCTCACACTCAATTTACAATTAACAGTAAAGCACCCCATAACTTTATTTATATTTCACCTGATTACAGAATTGAGGATACCAAACAGATTCTTTGATAAATTCAGAAATACCTCAATTTCTTTGTTTTTACAATTTGATTAAAGATGTTGAAACACGAGTGTTACTAAAAAGACACAGTTATGTAAAAATTGACACGAATAGGTAAAAACGGGTGAAAATTGATTCCTTTCAAGTTTAGACTCTGTTAGTTTATGAGGAGACAAAATCTGAGTCAATTAGTGCTATTAAATAATCTCTCCGATCGACAGTCTACGAAAAAATCGAGGTCAAAGTTGAAACTTCGATCGCTTTTCTTACAATTATCGAAGATTTTTTCATGAAACTCGTTTAACTGATCCTGCTTTTGATGATCAACAAGAAATATAATTATTTCGAGAAATAGAAATTTACTTTTTCTGTGAAACGGATAAGTTCGATTTTTAGTTAAATCGACTGCATTCTGTGACCATAAGAGTTAGAAAGTCGAAACTTAATATTTGTCGTATATGGTAGAACCTACAATCATCATTCTTTCATTCTTTCAATTCAATTCTGCGTTAATACACTTTAATAACTCTTGATTAGCGCTTTTGGATTATGATATTCGGGCTGTAAATGTAAGAGCAACAACTTATTCAACAAAACAAACTCATCTTAACACAATCTTGGTAAATAAAGCAATTTTCTGGTTAAACTTGGAAAAGTAATGCAAAAAGTACTGGCAAAGACTCGAACATTTGAGTAAAGAGTTGAAACTTGGTGGGTTTGTAATGACGTAAAAACTGAGTCCATTGGTGCTATTAACTATTTCATGTTATTGACAGTTGCCGAGAAAATCGAAGTCGAAGTTGAAACTTTGATCGCTTTTTGTACAATTATGGAAGCAGACTTTTTCATATAACTCTTTGTTACTGATGTAAATTTCAATGGCCAATTAGAAAATGATTTTATTATATTTTAAGACACAAAACTTTCTGTCTTCTGTAAAACAGATTAGTTCGATTTTTAGTGGAACCGATCGCATTCTGTTAACACAAGATTTAGCGAGTTGAATCTTGTTATTTGGCCAAAATAATTGTTGCTTCACATCATGGATGTGACCTAAACTTGTCAATTGCCAAAGAACCCAATTGATGAAAGCGAATCTCTTCCAGGAAAATGTCCAAAGGTACATTCATTGGTCTCCTCAATTTACCATTAGATTGATAGTAGTAAAGTATTGGTTCAAAAGCTATGCGACATCGGTCAAAAAAATATTCATTCCGATGAGGGTCGAAATATCTAGTGCAAGAAATACCAAACCATTAATATTATTTGAAAAGCTGCCAATTTAATATACAGAATATGTAGTAATTTAGAAAATTAACAAAAGTTTGATTGAAATTCGGATCAATATTTTTTTAATAAGTTAATTAGTTTTCAATTAGCTGCAAAAAATCGATTCATTTTAGAGCTAGCAGTCAATCAAACCGATCTTTCTTAGCACTAATACTGTAGAAGTAGCAAAAGCAAACATTTCTTCCATATTCGTGATTTAACAAGAGATTAAAGTACCTTTACGATCGAAGTCTCTTATTGTTTAATGTCTATGAAAACTAAATATGAGCGAGAGAACGATACTCCAAATTAACTTAAGACTGATACTATTGTGAAGGATTTCATTGCTTAAAACTAATGCTTTGAATTAAATGCATTGTAAATCTAATGAAACGATGCTTTTCAACTCACATGAAACTCACTTATGTTAAGTGTTATTGCTGGAAACTTTGGCTTTCGAGTTTGGATTTGAAACTTGGTGGGTTTGTAGGGGCATAAACTGAGTCCATTAATGGTTTTAAAAAGTTTCTTCGATCAACAGTTTTCGAGAAAATCGAGTCCAAAGTTGAAACTTCGATCGCGTTTTATTCCATTATGGTAATAGATTTTTTCATAAAACTTCATTTTACTCATGTCAATTTTGATGATTAACCAGAAAACGCAATTATTTCGAGAAATAAAACTTCCCGTTTTCTAAAAAACAGATCAGTTCGATTTCAATTTAAACGTGTCGCATTTCGTGTCTGTAACAGTTAGAGACCTGAAACTTCTAAATTGTCGATAAAATTTGATGGGTCACATCAAGTATCTAACGATTTTTCCAACTTATCTATAGTTCTCTTGATTTTGGCCATTGACCCAAGAACTTTAGTCCTCAATATTTCAAGAATAATAGAACCTACAAGCATAATTTGTTGACTAAACATTAGATATTATTATGGGCTATAACTTGATATGATTGAATACCCAATGGCAATCTGAGTTTATTTAATAAAATAAGGAATATCACTATTCTCTGCACATATTTGCGAGAATCATGAATAAGCTTA